AAGTGTTTATAAACTGGGAAAGAAGGAAAGGTGTTCAAGGTACTATGCTGTGAGAAGGACTTGACCTACTCTTGTAGGTTTTGAAGGTGGAGAAAGGCTCCATGGGGGAAAAGTGCAAGCAGCTGCTAAAAGCTGGAAACAGGAGGAAACAGACTGTCCACTAAAGTCTGCAGAGAGGAATGTACCCTGCCAACAGCTTAATTTCAGCCCAGTAAGACCATTGTGAGAAGTCTGACATCCAGCCTAGTAAGAGAATAAATTTCTTGTGGTAAGCCATTAATTTTGTAGTAATTTATTACACCTGCTACAGATAACATACAGTATTTTTCAGCAGTTTTGGCAAATTCTTCACATTGTTTCTTCAAATATTGCCCTCACCCTACTGTACTCTATCTTCTATATCTCTTGACTTTTTTCTTTCTTTCTTTCTTTCTTTTTTTTGGTATCTGGGATCGAACTCGGGACCTTGCACTTGCAAGGCAGGTGGTGGAACCACTGAGCTACATCCCCGGCCCTCTTGACTTTTCTTCAATGTTTTGTATCTTCTTATTTTTGTGGTTACTGAAAAACAGTAGGCTTCTGGTTCTACTTCAAATAAACTTATATTTTTGTATCTACCACATTTTCCCAAAAATAAGACCTACCTAGAAAATAAGTTCTAGCATGATTTTATATTTTATTTTATTTTATTTTAGTTAGTTAGTTTTTTGGTACCGAGGATTGAACTCGGAACCTTGCGCTTACAAGGCAGGCAGCAGAACCACTAAGCTAAATCCCCGGCCCAAAACTAGTTACTATTTTTTTTTTTTTGCTACCGGGGATCAAACTTGGATCCTTGCGCTTGAGAGGCAGGTGGCAGAACTACTGAGATAAATCCCTGGCCCTTCTAGCATGATTTTAGAAGAGACACTCTCTGAAAATGAGCCCTATTGCACATTTTAGAATAAAATATTGAGATGCAGATAGTGCTCATTTTCAAGGGATGTTGCCTCTAAAATCATGATAGAACTTATTTTCTGGGTAGGTATTAGTCTCAGGTAAATGTGGGTATATATTTATCATTAGTCCATTAATCTGTGTTATATAAACAATTTAAAAAGAAAATTATATTTATATTTGATATTTTATTTTAGGCTCTAAAGCTTTTTATAAAAATGTCAATAAAATTAATTTGATCAAAATTAAAATTTTATTCTTTTTTACAATGGGTTCTGAAAAAGCTTTCATCAATTCTCTCTTTTAAGTGCTAGCAACTCAGATTTGAGTGGCCAAAGATAATATTAAATTAGAATCCTCTTAGGTTGACTAACATGATGCAAAAGGAATTTTTGGTTGTTGTCATCAAAAACATGTGTACATGTATGAGATGATAAAAGTGTGCTTAATAAATCTATTGTGAAAAAAGAACTTTTGGAGCTGAGATTCCAAATGGTTTATACCTAAACTTGTTAACTCTGTGTGTGTGTGTGTGTGTGTGTGTGTGTGTGTGTGACAGAGAAATAGGAAGAGATTGAACCCAGGCCTCCACCACTAAGCTACAACCCCATCCCCTTTTATTTTTTTGAGACAGGGTTTCACCAAGTTGCCCAGGTGGGCTTATGATCCTGGGCTTGAGCTTATGTTCCTCCTACTTTAGCCTCCTAAGTAGCTGGAATTGCAAGTATGCACCACCATTCCCACCTCATTTTCTTTTGTTAAGGAAAGAATTTAATGAGTCTATTTTTCTCGATGAGAATTCTTCTAGACTACCTATTAAAATAGTGTGTGTAGTGTTTTATGGTTTTGTCTTGGTATGTCACCATATTATAAAAATAGTCTTATGTTAAGAGGATTCCTTCAAAATGCCAGTCCCTTTTTGAATTGAAAATACTATTAGACTTCAAAATATTATGACCTTTTAAGGATAATTTATAGTGTCCTTAAAAAAAAAATTTTAAACTATGTTATACTTCTAAGAACAGAGCAAAGTTTTCTGGTCTTCTCATTTAGTTATACATCCTGACTTACTATATCTGAATCTAGTAAAGTCATACATTTCCTTTCAATCTTTAGTGGGGTAAAGTTCATTTATCATTCTAATCTAGGAAAATGATTTAACTCCTGTTAACAACTTATGATATTCAGCACAAACACAGCTGTACTTTGGAATTAGCATCTATCTTTGTTTCATAGTGCCCTTATTTATCAAGGCAAAGTGGTAGTACAGCAAATATTTCAGTGTTATGTCCCACAAAGAGATTTCATGCCAATAGCATTGTTTTAAAATGTATTATTTGATTTTCATTCTAGCTAGCACAAATCAATTTTCCCACCTGTATTGTCAGCCTGGAACATCTAACCACAAATCCAAGTGCTTGTTTAGTTTCCACATAAAATTTTGACAGACTTAATAAAAAAGTTTCAATTAATGACAATTTCATCTCATGTATAGGTTAATTTTCGCACTTCCCACCTTTAGTGTTTTTAAGCAAAGAAGAACATTTAGACCTAGGTTTTAAGGTTTATTTTTCTATATTCCTTAAATAACTTTGATAAATTAATCTGAGCCTAAGTTTTATGTAAGATGATTGTTGGCACGATACACTATAAAAATGTAAAACATTTAAAATAGTGTATTTTACATAGTAATTGTTCTATAGATTATTTTTACACTGTGGTACACTGTGCTTCTGCCATGTTTTCATGCCTTGTGAAATAGCTCTTACACCTTCAGAGGGGTCCCCTGTTTAGACTGGTCCACAGGGCAGCAGAAGAACACTGAGTTCATTGCATGCGAAAAGGCTTTGGCAGTCTTACTACATCTCAGGGAAGCAATCTAAGAAGTCTTTTTACAAGTGTCTTTGTAAAAAAGAAAAAATTTATAAGCAAAATTAAAAAGGGTGCCACTATTATAACCAATAGAAAGTGTCTTATTTAAACATAATATTGCTGAAATGACTACTTCATATGGGGACTCAGAAGCTTCCTAGTGCAAATCGCATGCTCAAATGAAACAGCACTTGTTGTATTAGGCAATAGTGATACGTCCTTTATTGGTTGGACTATGGCACATACCTGACACCGAGCCGTACTTTACCCAAGGAGACACGTATCACACACCACACAGTCTGACCACAAACTGGAAGTCTATGTATCTATGTGGATGTGGTTGTGTAAGCCTGTAATCCCAGTACCCTGGGGAGCTGGGGCAAGAGGTTCACAAGTTCAGCCCATCCTGGGAAATATAGTAACTTAGACCCTGCTCAAATTTTTTTTTAAAAAAGCCAGAAAAGAAAATAAGAAAGGGAAAAGGTCTCTGATGTAACTCACCTCCAGTATCAGAAAACAAAAGTCTAGGTACCTGACGCGAATGAACATATGACAACACTTCTTATGTTATAGAATTAAATAAGTGCACTTAATTTAAAAGGATGGGTAAGGGAAGTTTAAGTAGTTAGTTATAATGGTTTCTTATCCCTATGTATGTAATTAAGAAATTGTGGGCACATTTAGATATTTGTTTAAATGGAAAGCAATGAGGACTTTCACATTACCTTGTATTCATAATCCTTATTATTCATAAATCCTTATATTTTTCCAACAAAGCTATGCTTTTCTAAAAGTGGCCTTTTTTATTTAACCCAGAAAAGCTTAGTAATTATAACTTTAATGTGACATTCCTAATCTAATTTTGTTATCTAGTCTGATTTGTATACATAGCAAATGAAATTGTAGTCTCAGTAGAAGATAAATAACTTTAGCCTTCAATTCTTTATATGAAAATGTACTTCCAGAGGAAATATGCTAAACTTTGGACATTTTTAACTTACAAATTTCATTGTCCCTGGGAATGGGCAAAGATGGGAAGGAAGAGAAAAAAATAACCAAGATGTGACATGTGTATGTATCAATTCCCCAAGATGAATGCAATTATTAGGATAACAAACCTATACTAATAAATAATGAAAAATAACAATATTGGATTATAACTCAAATAGTAAAATAAAATTTAATTTCCAAGTCAGGATTCTTAAAAAAGGTTTGAGAAAAACTAGGATAAATTTAAGAGCCCATTTTATACTGAAACATGGCCATAAGTATTTTCAAGTACATTCAAATCAATGTTCACCTTCTTTGTCAAAGCAGCCCCATGTCCCACCTCCCCAGGGCACTTCCTAGGTTTTGTTTCTATCAAGTCCCTCTGGGGTGGGGGCTCTCCAGGGATAAGGGTTGGTGCCATTAGCATGGCTTCAGCCCTGCTAGAGTGGTCACTTTAGAGGAGCTTCCTAATTGAGAAAGACCTGGGATTTTCCCTCTGAAACTCTTCCTGGTAATGGAATTCAGAAAGCACCAGAGCCCGGTCAGCCAGCTAAACTGCGGGCCCAAGCAAGTGTCTTTCTTCACCAGGACCAATGAGGGTCGGCTAGAGCATCCTCCATTGGTCCAAAGCACAGGCAGGCAGACAGGGCGGATTTCCTTCTGCCCCCTACAGTTTCCCACAGGAGAAGCATCACCTACGGAAGTTCTAGTCACTTTAGTATTATTTTAAAATAATTGGTGGTGGCATGACTTAGTTTCTATTTACAGTCTAAAATTTAGAGTGATTCTTTTGTAATGGCATACAGTGTGCAAAATTCAAAAAGGAACATTTAAGGCATATTAAAATTCAATTAGGTGTAGCTGAGTTTAAGAATCTCCGCCACTCTCTCACGTGCAGTGGTAAGATGTAAAGATAGGCAATTAATGTATCCATGAGGATGACGAGATAGTAAGCAGAAGAGTGTCCACCACTGGTTCTCTTGGAATATCCCTGAGTACTTCTGCAGTTATAGGCAGGTAAGCTACTTAGCTCTCAAAATTGAAAACTTTCTTGATTTCCTTCTTCAGTGAAAAAAAAAATTAAAAAGAGTGAGAGACTGAAAGCTAAAGCCCACCTGTGTTTAATCATTAATAAGGAGCCCTTCAGTGAACCCAAGTCCTGATTTTGGAATTTGGAATCTGACCTTTCCCCAGAGATAAACATTATCGTCACAGGTTGGAGAGCTCACTCCCTTGCTGGCTGCATCGGAAGAGGCCCCTTCTGGCTCCCAGTGCAGGGAGGGCAGCTGCTCAGCATGATCCTCCTGGCTGTGCTCTTCCTCTGCTTCATCTCCTCCTACTCAGCTTCTGTTAAAGGTGAGTTTGTCTTGCCTTTCCCTAAACTTTAATTTCAGACTTTGGGCGGAAGTATGAGAGAGAGAGTGGGGGCGGGGAGAGATCTAACTAAACCCTCTTCAAAACCATGTAACTTTGGAATGTTTGTGCAAGCATGACCATGTTGAAATGAAAACCAAATTCAAATTTCCAACTCTATTTTATGAAAATAGAAGTTTCTTTTCATTTCAGATCCTCAAACCAGTGTATTTCTTGCTTCAGTTTTTCGATCATAGTGTATTTTTAAAGGGAGGATAAAGATGCCAGCTATTGTTACCTGCTGCTGTTGGTCATGCTGAATGCAACTCCTTCATTTGAATTGTAAAAGAGGATTGAAAAATCCCAGCTCTTAAATTTCTTTCTGGTTGCTTAGCAATGTAACATCAAGAATTAGACCCAATAAAAAGGCATTTAAATTGCTAAAGAATTATTAATGAAATGTATTTAATTCTCTTACCATTCAAAACCAATAGAATAACCCTAGCTGATGAATTAAAGAAAGTAGAAGTACATGGTATAGATTTAAGAAATAAGACATTATCTTTGAAAAATAGTGTTGCTAGTAACAGTTTCCATTTTAAGATGAAATTGATTTTAAAATATATGAATTGATACTAGAAAAAAAGCAGGAGAAACCCCATATTTTATGAGGAGTGATTTCAGAGGGCTGTATGCAGAAATATACTGATGTGGAATCTTAAATCATCTAGATTATAAAGTCGCTGGATTTCTGGATGTTGCCCTATATACAATTATCACTTTGTAGAGTCTTTTAAGGCATGCTGTCAAAACCTACTGATTTAACAAACAATTTAGCATGATAGGGTCCAGTTTTTAAAACTCTAAGCAACTGATATGAAGCAATTCACTTTAAATTTTAAAAACCTGTTTTAGGTAAATGTGGCTTTTGATCATAAAATTTGTCTCAAGGTTTTTTGTGTGGAAAATATCTACATGAAGAGAAAGGGGAAATTTTATTATTGAAACAATAAATAGAGGACTGAATTTAAATTATTTCACCTAAGCAAATCACACTTTAAAAGGTAATACTTTCATCATCTTCTAAAATGGTTAGTATTTTTTTTTTTGGTACCTGGGATCGAACTCAGGTCCTTGTGCTTGCAGGGCAGGCAGCAGAACCACTGATCTAAATCCCCGGGGCCTAAAATAGTTAGTATTTAAGGATAAAGATACATCTTTACTTGGATGAAAAACAATGAGGAAAAAGTAGATTTGTAAATTGTATCTAAGAATTGTTATATAGAAAACATACTACTTTATTATCTGTCAAAATGTTGACTATTTGAAATACAAGTGATATAAATAACATAATAACATAATACCCTGATAATTTTTAGAAAAATAACTGAGCTGTAGCAGTTGCTATGGGCTTCTTTTTTCCCATTATATAAACTAGAAAACTGCAAATATGCTTACAAAAAATTCAAACACACACACAAGAGAAAGCCACAGAGGGAAAGTGTGGTTCAGAAAGTGACAAGTAAACTTGTATACAAGCTCAGGAACAAATCCAGTTATCTAGAACCTGAAGCTCCTATGATTAGGAGGCTGTCTTTGAGAGAAGACCACAAAACATCTTACATTTCCAGAGGTTCCACACACAGGTTGAGGTGTATGAACACATTGCAGTGTCTTCTTCCAAAGTCTTGGAAGTAGTCTGGGCGAATGAAGGGCCCCAAATCATAAGCATCATGAGCTTCATAGTTTAAATTCCTTGTGCTGAATATTATGAATAAAAAGTACAAGACAGTTCTCTCTACCTAGATGGGATAGCATTTGGGATCACAGGGGCATGATTTGATGATAGATAGATTTTTTTTTTTGCCCTTATAACGATTGACATTTAACTAGTGAATTATATGTGAAAACTCTGCCTTAAAATCAGGCCATTCTAAATTTTGGACTCCCGGGGGTCTAGTTTAGATTACCAATGCAACTGTCTAGGAAATCCTAAGACCTGGGTAAGTGTTGAGGGCAGGTAGGAAGTTATGGCCAGTGGTGGAGGGCTTAGGATGAAGATGAGTGTGGAACAGGGTTTGTATGACTTGCTGCGTGTGAACTTTCTCAAGAGAAGTTTGCCCTGTTTTGTTTGTTTGTTTGTTTTTTATTGTCATGGTGAGTCTGTCCTCAGGGCTGTGTGCAGATTTTCTGAATCTAGTGCCTTCAGCTTTGTCACCTCTGAGCCTGAATGTTCCTTCACTTCCAGTCTTAGTCCCTGAACCTCTCCTTACTTTATAGCCCATTGACTGGCCTCCCAACCTTTTACGTCTGACCTTCTTATCTGGATTCATTAATCTCCACTGCTCTCATTCTTAGTACCATTGCATTCCTCACTACAGCACACACCAACTTCCCTCTGTTTTGTCTTCTTGCTTAATCCCATTGACAGTGCTAGTGTACCATCTAAATTTTACAGATGAGTACAGTATCTCTAAATATTTTTTAAAACATTCAAAACTAAGAAGTCATTGTTTTTCGGTCATTTAAAATTCTAAATATGCTTAAAGCATCAAAATGAAGAGGTACTGACATTTTTGAATAAAATCACTTTCTCTTTTGGTGTCATCTAACATCAGTCCCCCTACCAAAAAAGAAAAGAAAAGAAAAGGCCATGCTCCAAAGACCCTAAAAGGAAACTAAGTCATTAATGAAATGGAACATGTGCCCAGTACCCCAGTGTTTTGAGCTCCTTGAATGATGCAAGCAGAGAAATACTTATCAAAGGGGACGGATGCCAGGGACAACACTATCATGCACTACCTATGTGAACCACTTAAGGTGAGAATTAGGCAAAAGAGTGCATATTAGGTCTGTAGAACAAGGAAGGAAAAAGCTTTGAATGAACAAGGCCCTTTCTGCCCCTAGCTTTGTCACCTCCAAGTTCTAGTTAAGAACTGATCTTTTTGTGTACCTTTTCATATTCCTTTGACCCGTAGAGTAACACTAAGAAAAAAATTAACAGGGCCAGGGATTTAGCTCAGTGGTTCCAGCGCCTGCCGTGCAAGCGCAAGGTCCCGAGTTTGATCCCTGGTACAAAAAAAAAAAAAAGAAAGAGAAAAAAGAAAAAAATTAACAAAAATTTCAAAAGCTTTGGAATTTGACTACCTTCCTGCAACATTTTCATAGTTTTTTTTAAATCAAAAGCACTTTCATGTAGTTCACAGCTTGGATTTCAGTAAATTTACATATCAAATTCTGCTTCATACCTGCTTTGTTGGGTTGGACACGGAGTCGGCTTCTATCAGCTCTTGTTCAATGCTCACCTTTCAGAATTGCTGTGAAGACTGACAAAGACAATGTATACTTCCTTTATGTCCCATGCGGAATTTCGTAGACGCGTGAAAAAGGCCTTCCCGCCCAAAACATCATTCCCAGCCAAAAAGCCGTTGTTTGAACCTGCTGCAGAGCCCGCATCAGAATGCACAGCGGGTGCAGAAGGGGAGGCTGGAGGACCCCAGATTTCCTAACCTTCAGACCTTGTCCTGACTCTGCCTTCTCATCCTTGCACCTCAGGTTCTATGTGATGTGGTGTTGGATACCCGCGCTCACATTTTCTCCACCTGCATCTTCTAGAGCAGGGGCAGGAGATGTTCTTTCCATAAGGGTCTAGGTGGCCACCTAAACTGTCACCATCTCATGGAAGTCTTTCAGTTCCCTCAGAACCCTGCTGTCTTTCCCAGCTCAGTTTTCTTCATTAGCATTTTCATATGCTGTATAATTTGCTTATATTTTTATGGCCCACCATCACCTCACTTAAATATAAACTTCATGAGGGTATAAATTTTGTCTTCTTTTGTTTTTAGCCTAAGTCTACAAAATACCCTACCACCCAACATAGTAGTTACTCAAAACATCTTGTTGATTGAATTAATTCCTAGTTTACTCCCTAGGAATGGAAAAGAATTCAATCTAAAAGCTTACAAGTATACAGCATAAGTTATTTCTAAGCCACGGTACAAATCATGTTTCCACCACTAATGACCTGATGAGAATTGCATGATCTCTGCACTCCTCCGTTTCCTCATCTATGCAATGAGTAAAAATAGGTCCATCTTCATTGGATTTTTGAGTGTCAATCAAATAACTTAGAGACGATACAGTCTGACCATCCTTTCCTTGGAACAGTGGGGCCTTTAGCAGCTGGCAGAGCTGGGGGAATAGTTTGTCACTGTGTAGATAGAAGCAACGTTTCAGATGTGTTGTTTTCAAAGTAATTTTTCTCCCTTTTTCAGTTTCCTCACTTTTGAGTAAGTCACCTTAATCCCTCCCGTTCCTCTTTCTATATCTACACTTTCTGAAGGAAAAAGCTATGGTTGTCCACAATGGTCAACCAGTAGTTACCTCGACAGTGCAGCCCCCTTAACCCAGAGGAAAAATGTGTGCACCAAGTCTTCCTCGACCCTCCAGAGAGCCATGTGTAGAAAGTATAGACAAAGGATTTACCTGAGCGTAAACTTCAAGTCAGTTCTGGAAAAGTCTCGATTCTACTTCTTCAGTTTCTTGGGATAAATTGAACTGAAATGGAAACTGGGTGAATGTGTCCATATGCCAGTTTTTCTTGTATTCTATTTGGTGCTAAACTGGCCTGACAAATTTAAGCCTGTGCTGAGATTTTATGTAGTAAAATATAATTTTATTTGGGCACAGCTAATTTAAATTTACCTATGGGTAGCCCTGAAATGTACCTTTGTACTAAAAGTTTGCTTAATTAATAAAGTACACTAGAGGCTATTCTTTAAATATCAAATTAGGAAACTGTCTATCTAACTTCTATAACTACATTGGCATCTAACTGTTGGTGTTAACAATATGTTGATTACAAATGGTTCTTATGAATTACAAATTTTTCTTATTAAATTTATAAAACAATTTCTGGCAGGACCTCTACTTAAACTCATCCTATTCACACAATGAAAAGCTATACAGCCAGGCATGGTAGCCCATGCCTGTAATCCCAGCACTCCAGGTGGATGAGACAGAAGGATCACAAGTTCAATCCCAGCATGGGCAACTTAGTGAGACTCTGTCTCAAAAAGAAAATCTTTATAAAATGGGCTGAGGGCCAGCGATTTTAGCTCAGTGGTTTCACTGCCTACTGCGCAAGCACAGGGACCCGAGTTTGATCCCCAGTACCAAAAAAAAAAAAAGAAACCCTGTAAAATAAAAGGGCTGAGGATGTAGCTCAATGTGAAGGTCCTGGGGCTCAATTCCCAATACCACCAAGGGGAAAAAATGTGAAGCAATGCCATTTCTCTTTCAAAATGTCCTATTGTTCAACCAGGGTAATACTGGATAATGTAATAATTGATTAGACAGATACATTAATGTTTTCTGAAGTGATAGCTTATTTGTCTGCTAGTTCCTCAGTTTATTTATGTTTTTCAAGCTACTGATTTCAGCACTTTCCTCAAGTCAGCAGACACTCAGCTCCCAGTGAGGCCCCCTGCAAGCTAGAGGAAAGCAATTGTGGAATGACTGTGTGCTCCCCAGCCTGACAGATGTCTTCCAGTTAAAACGTGGTTGTGTCCCTGTCTTTATGCAGGTCACACAACTGGCCTTTCACTAAATAATGACCAGATATATAAGCTCACATATTCCACTGAAGTTTTTCTTGATGGAGGCAAAGGAAAACCCCAAGACAATGTGGGCTACCGAATTTCATCCAGTGTGGATGCTGTCTTGCTGTGGAGGAGCCCTGACGGTGATGACGACCAACTAATCCAAATCAAGGTGGGCATTTTCTTCCAACTACAAAAATGACAACAATGTCCCCACATAGGATTGGATGTCAGCAAAGTCTCTGAGAAATGTGACATTTGACAGCACTTCTGTGCACTTGTTTATAAAATCATTTAGTTTATATTTTGACATAAAATTTTAAGTACTGGATCCACAGTTTTTAAGTTTTTGCTCATCAAAAGCGATCTGAGTTTTCCAAATTATTGAAGCAGGCAAGTAGACAGTATATGTTGGTGAGTAGCCAGAGTAAGGTGTCCCGTTCCATATGTAATATTAGTAGGGACATTAAACTGGAATCCATTCAAAATGTTCTAGGAGAGAGGGATCTGCACTCCATGTCCTGTTGAAAACAACTGATATTGCTGTAACTGAAAGGGAAGGTGAATTAGAAGTTCCTTGATTGAACAGGAAGTTACCAAGGAGGGAGTGAACCTATTTCGTATTCTCCCTGAGGAAGAACCAACTGCTCCCTTTCATGGCAGTATTTGGTCAGCTATGATGGTTTAGATTCATGCATTAGGAATAGAGACCAAGTTAGATAATCTATAAAGATTTTCCACTTTTATATATGGTGGTTCCATATTTGTTTCTCAAGAACCTAAAGGCAATAGATTCCTTTAGCAAAGTCAGTTATTCTTTCTTGTGTTAGCATGAAATAGCAGTGCAGGACCAAGAACTTGGAACAAGTAATAACTGCTGTTCTTTATAATGAGGTCCATTGCAGAACATTTACAAGTGATCTTTGTTTCCTAGATGTCTTTAACATTTCTTTCCCCAAGTTGGCTCCCATAGTCATCATCCACTACTCTGAGGCTTTTCTCAACAGAACAGTAAGATACCTTGCAGAAAACACTGCGTCCAGTCTTTCTCGGTAACTAGACTCTTTACTTCCAGTGCTCCATATACAGCTGAATGGAGCAGAAGTGCATTCAGACAAATACTATTGTACAGAGAGAACAGCACCTGTTCAACAATGACATAAAAGAGCCATCTTTAAGTCAGTTATTGTAAACCCAAAATCACAGAGTTCTTTAAGTACAGTATTTTTGCCTAATTAGAAAATCTAATTTTTTAAATACCATCTCCATTCTTTTGAAGGGAGTGGCAATGTCCTACGATCATGGATAAAAAAATGATAATCTCAGTTGGTCTATTTCTTTACCATTTTATTTTCTAAGAAACTCTGATGGAGACAGACTCGAGAAGTTTTTCTAATAGGCTTCTCTCCATGACTGTAGATGACAGATGTAAAAGTTGAAGATGTGAATCAGCAGAGAGGGGAGAAGAGCATCTTCAAAGGAAAAAATTCACCTAAAATCCTAGGAAAGCAAAACTTGGAGGCTCTGCAAAGACCCATACTCCTTCATCTAATCCGTGGAAAGGTGAGGAGCCTTTGAGGGGGTCTTTTCTCCAATTCCCTATTTAATTCCCTCCTGTGTACATATTATTTTAAGGTAATAGTGTTTTCACTGATTTCATGGTAAATGGAATTATTTCAAGAATTAATAAGCAGAAGCTGAAATTTAAATGTTTCTACAGTAAACCAGTGTCCCAAATTCTTTTATATATTCTAGCCAATTTGTTTTCTATTTTTGTAAAAATCTTTTTAGGAAAATCAAGTATTTCTTTATTGATGAGAGGCTTAATTTAAACAGCACATCCCTTATTAAATTAGGAAGGGTTACAAAGATAGTGTAACAGAGCAAGTTATCCACAGAAACTATTGGATAAATCTACTGGATAAATCCTAGTCAACTGGATAATTAGATAAATTCAAGAATGCAGACAAATTACAATGCAATGATAATTTAGATAAGTGATTTTAAACTCTTATGAGGATATTGAGATCTGGCTAAAGTACAAAGTTCAAGCTTTAGAAAGGCATGGCATGTCTAAGGTAAGGTTCATTCTTTTAAAATTAGAGATTCTTTGAACTCTGAACTGAAAATGCATTTAATATATCGAAATAATGAATGAACACTGTAATTTCATTGGAAATCTGATCAGAAAGTTCTGTAAGTATGCACTATTTATGGTTTGAGTTCAGTTTATTTTAAATGGTCTTAATATATTTGGAATTGAGAAGCATGTATACTCTGTGAAGTATTGGGCACTATGTATGTGGGCTGATGAAAATCAAAGCATGAACTGATAAGGTTATCTGAAGCTAAAATAATTCTCAGAATTCCAGAGAGTGTTTGCTTATTGTTTATTTAACTGTAGCTAAAGTGTATCAGACACTTACTATGTGTGAGGCACTGACTGAAGTCTTTACCTGTATTAGTCTCTTATCCCAGGGATTACCCTAGGAACCATGTGCTTTATCATCCTCTTGTGATAGATGAGGAACAAGGTTAAGAGATCTTAAGAAACTTGAATAGGGTCACATAACTGGCAAGTAGAAAAGCTGGTATTTGAAATAGAGTCTATGCTCAAGCTTCTATGTGCTACTGTGTTCTGCCTGAAAAGTACTTGGTAAAATGCTGTCTTCAGTTGACTTACGTGTTCCTTATTTTATTCTTTACCATCTGTGTTCATTTACTTGATTTGCATATGGCTGTACTTTATTAACAATGTGAAACACTTATTTTTTTGGTCTGGGCTTGCAATGTGGCAAGACACTTGAGTCCATTAAATATTAGTTACATTTATAATCTTAGTGACAACAAATCATTTTATAGCTCCTTCACTGGCAGTTGAGTACAAAGTCTTTTGTTACACACATGAAAGGACTTGGTGCCCTCACTGTTCAAAGGCTGGGATGGAGCTGCCACATCGTTATTTCAGGGTATTAATGGGCCAGTTGTAGAGGAGCTATGATGTGGGGTGGCTTCCTGTAGCCACAGGCTAAAGTACATCATCGTAACTCTTAACTATACAAGAAGTCCTTGGAAAAACTTGACCCTGGAGATGGAGAAGCCAAGTAGACTTTTTGGCCACATTGTTGTCAGGAGTATCATCACTTTAACTGTTGTTTCTGCTTACTGTGACAGAAATTATTCAAAGACAGGGTAAACTGCTGATGGCAATTGTCTTTGAGAGCATTTTATCCTAGGCTGAATTTAAATGTTACTTAAACGTCCTGTGATTGCAAGGATGCTTGTCTGCATGTATCAGTGTACTTCCAGAGGTCCTTTCTCCCCTCCCATTTGAAGCTCCCATGTTGACATCATGAAAGAGAACTTATCAAGTTACTTGGATACATATCATTGCACATTTTATTTTTTGGATAGGACTCTAGTTTTGTCTAAAAAATCACAAACTAAGTTGGAAATGTGACAATTATCTGGTTAAATCAACACTGACAAGGGAAAGGTACTTCCAATTATAGCATAAATTCTCACTGGGCCTGAAATGCTCATCCAATTAACTAGATAATTACCAGATTTTCTGTTCTGGTTTTGACTGTCTGTGTCAATTAAATTAACCAAATGGCTTCTGAGTGGGCCTCTTGTTTTGTGCTGTTTCCAGCCATCGATTGGCTCTCTGAATCTCCCGTGTGACTTCTGTACACACTGAATCTCCAACAGGGCAAATGATATCTTTCAAACTCACTTTGAAAGCTTTAGAATTTTCTTCACCATTTGTATCCAAATGTGACATTTCCTAGCTATGTTCTGTCTTAGGTTCATATCAGAGATAAAATGACTATCATTCTTTGCTGGGATCTTTTTAATTCATTTTGCTGTTTGTCCACTTCATGTAACTTTGCCTCCTCTTATTAAAGAATATACATAAGGAAGGGAGCATGTAGAGAAACATTTCCTTCCTAAGAGCCACGGATGAGTGGGGCCTCTGTATTCCAAATTGACCTGCACCTACACCAACACCTCTAGACTGGCTTTCCTTTCATTAAGAGCTTAGTCTGTAACCAGGTTGTGCCCAGTGCTGCTCTGTGGAGGCTGAGTGTGAGTTCAGATAAGAGCTGTGTCCTCTCAGGTGTTCAGAGCTCATTCACTACTGAATGAAGTAATCAGCTTTATGGCTTGAGTATAACAAAACTTACTCAGCTCCTATTGTGAAATAATGAATTTAAGATTATTGCTGCAATGGTCACATGGATTGAACTGCAAAGTTCAGATTTATTATTATAAGCTATGCACAGCTAATATACACACAAGAACTGTCTTCACTTTGGATCTCACTTTTCTTCCTTTTTTTTGGTACTGGGGATCGAACTCCAGTCCTTGCACTTGCAAGGCAGGTGGCGCAACCACTGAGCTAAATCTCCAGCCCTGGATCTCACTTTTCTGCTCTAAAGAAACAGAACTCTGGCCCTGGGTATAGCAGTCATATAAAATAAAAGTCTGAGGGCCAGGGATTTAGCTCAGTGGTTCCACCTCCTACCTTTCAAGCAAAAGGTCCCAAGTTTGATCCCCGGTACCCCCCCCCCCAAAAAAGTCTGGTCCATTTTCTAGTTCTAGAGAAAGAAACAAATTACAAAGAATTTTCTTTGTGTCTCCTTGTTTACATTTTTCAGCCTGTCAGGAAAAAATAATGTTCAAACATCATTTTCTTACGAATCTAGAGATCAAGATCAAAACTTCACCATAGAAGTGAGTCACTAACAGGAGAGTACTTGCATAGTCCAAATTAAATCCAAGAACTGGGTTTCCTGAAATTTTAGGTGAAACATTTTAAGTAGGTATATTCTGTAATCTAGAAGGAAATTGAAGCTAATGATGACAGGATAGTATTTTCCTCACTTGCTTTCTAAAATATCTAAGACCAAAAAGTTACAGGCCATACCCATGTGTGCACTGGGCTCAAGTAACCCAGTTATAAACCCTGATAGGCACCCTATCTGGACAGAGCCTCCCGTCAAATATCTGCAACAGACGTGACACTCACTGCTAAAGGAAATTGGGCCCTGTTTACCATAGAGAACATCACGAACTCAGCCTTTTCTGAGAAAATTGCTGGTGATCTGTTTGAGAATATGACCCCAAGGATTTTCAGACACTGAGGTCATTATTCCAGTTCCTTTTTAACTGGGACAAACAGCACTATTCCAACATTTATAGGTTTGTCCAGTGTAATAGCTAAAATTGATTGCCAAATAAAGTATCTAGTAAATCTGTCACTAGGCAGAGTATATGGAAGGAAGTAAAAATAGAGATTCGAGACACTTGTTTGAGTAATGCAGACAAAATATTTTCTTCTTCTAAGGCATGAGAGACTTTTGTGTAGGCCAAATTATTCATAGTGATATTAATTAAATTCATTGCATAATTACTGAACTTTCTGTTTTACTTGAAAAGTCATAGTTGTATTTAAAGAGAAATAGAAATAGAAATATTCAAGATATTTTGGTAGAAATGCTCAGCTATAATTATCAGAGACCTTGGGAATTTTTACAGGGAAGATGTATCTATCTCCTATTTCTAAACTGTGTGAAAAGTTTAGAGTAAATATGGAGTGAAAACCAGCAGCCACCTTCCAGAAAATTCTCTTTGTATTTTCATCCTATTTTTTATACATGAGCTAACCTATCAAAATGATGAAAGGCACTGTGGCTAAGATGTCAGGGATAAAACAAAGCCGAGTCACTTATTATTGCCGCCAAACCATAGCCACCCTCACCATTTTGACCTTTTTCCACCTTCTAAAGGGCACCTTACGGCAGTACCTGGGGTCACAATCTCAACCTCCAGTCTTCCAGCCTATGCGTCTCCATTTACCCAAATCCAGGTGAATGCAGTGGGAAAATGTTGCCCCTGAGGAGTTTTGCCCCTGGGTACATGGGCTGCCTGGCCCTTGTCAGAGCCTACAGAGCATGAGCTGTTCAGAAGTCTGCAGGGTTGTGATTTTCTAAGAGTCCTCCTATTTTCTGTTACTTTATATGCTGGTTAGTTTCTGTTTCAAGCGTGGTAACAGGTAAAGAACAGGGAGATATGTTCAAAGAGAATGTTCCTAAATTTTCTGCTGTGGACAATTCTTGTTTTCATAGAAATCTCAGCCTTTGTCAGGGCTCTTTCCATTTTTATCAGTGCTGATCACAGTCAGAACCTTCATCATCAGCCCCCTGAATTTCACATCCTGATGATCTAGCTTCTGAGAAATTTAGTTTCTTTTCAATAAAAAGAAGTCACAGTTTTGTAGTAACAAATCACGTTCTCCCAGAGTTAATGGGGCAAGAATATGAGCTTTCCAACCACATATTTAACCAAATCTGATGAATGAGGCATTTGTGCTTCTTTATGTTTCTCTTTTTCCTCCCTTAGGTCAAAGAGTTCTACTCATATCAGAACGAGCCAGTGGCCATAGAAAATCTCAAGAGAGGCCTGGCCAGCCTGTTTCAGATGCAATTAAGCTCTGGAACCACCAATGAGGTACTTGCTAACATTACTAAGGTTTCAGCATTGTATTGGTCAGTAGGGTTAGCAAAATTGTTTTGAGAATTCTAACTTATCCAACTCTGGTAGAAGAGTTACTCATATGGTATTGCTCAGACAAGTTAAGTTGGGTGGTCAAATCTCATTAACATATGAAATAACTGCCATTTATGCCAATGTTTTATTATTTAAATTCAGGGTAAAGAGAATTAGAATCAGTTTTATTAGGGAGGCTTTGGATAATTGTTAGATATGCACAAAACCTTAGGGATCATTCTAGTAGTTCCTAGACATCGCCAGACACCATTATCCTATTGGGGAGCTTAGGAAAAAATGGATTCCCTGGATTCAAGAATCTGTATCCCCTCTATTCAAGAATCTGTAACCCTCTTCTCAGATAATTTGGATGCATTATCAGTATGGGGTACCACTAAGCTATACCGGTGGCCCTCATTTTGCAAATTCAGGAACTTAAGTTAATCAGAGAAGTTGAGCAGTTCTCCCAGTATCACACCTGGGGCTAAGGCTGGAGTCCAACCTTTCCAGCCAGCCCATGAAGGGATGAGAATGTCTGATAGCTAATGTTGGCTAGCTTGCTGAAATAAGACAGGGATGGTCCTGGCCGAAGCCCAAGGGAAATCTCAGGGAAGCTAAGCAGCACCCACATGGATGCATTAGCCTAAACTCAGACTGCTGAGGTAGCTAATAATGAGTTTAATTAATCCTACAGTTTTTTTCTGAAAAGTCTAATCATACTCAGCTCTTCAAAGTAACATGCACACACTGTAGCTACAGCCTTAAGAATCAACACTCCTTGACTTGTAATTACCCATTTGCCCAGCTCTTTTTGGGTGGAGAGAAAAGTGGGGCAATGTGAAAACTGCATAAGACTAAACCAAAGAAGATGAGAAAGAATTGTCTGCTATTGGAAACCTTGAGTTCTTTCGGTCTGGCTTGTCAGAACTGGGGAGAAATAGAAGCATTCCCTAAGGGCGTGTTAGGGACCTCAATTTCAAAGCCACCTCCTAGTGAAATTCAAATAATCCAGGCCTGCTCCCATTATGTTCTTGCTTTTCTTTTTTAGGTAGATGCTTCTGGTCATTGTAAAGTGACCTACCAGGCTCAGCAGGATAAAGTGGTCAAAATTAAGGCCTTAGATTCATGTAAAATAGAGAGGTCTGGATTTACAACCCAAAATCAGGTATGATTGGTATTAGTCTCTTTGAGGCATTTGAATAATTATGTCTTGTACAGATTAATTTAAAATAGGAGAAAAATAAAATAGTGGTAGATTTGGGAAACATTTAAAAATGTTAGCTTAGATTCTAGTTTCACACGTGTCATATGAACACACATTTAAACATGTTGTAAGTGTGGGGATGGGTGAAGAGGGTCAGGAAGATAATTTGTTATTTGACTCATTTCAAACACTAAAATCTGACTGATCATTTGTTTAAAAGATACCCATTTATTTATTTATTTAGGTCTTAGGTGTCAGTTCGAAAGCTACCTCTGTTACTACCTATAAAATAGAAGACAGCTTTGTGTTAGCTGTGGTTTCAGAAGAAATCCATACTTTTGTGCTGAATTTCCTAAACACCATAAAAGGAAGAATAGTATCACAGTAAGATACTGCTGAAATGTTTACTTTCTTTGCTGTTTGTTGATATATGATTATATTTGATTAGTAAATGGGTGTGTGTGTGCACACAGTGCTTTCTTGTTTCAAGTGTGAGTTCCTTGAAATATTGTAGTGATTATATCCTGTTCATCTTTAGTCTTCAATCATTTATAATACAGTAAATACCATTTTAACAAAATTTCATTAAAATGAGTGATTTGTTGAATTGAAATTTTAAGATGACAATTGTTTCATTTATTACAGTTTATTTTCTAATTTCTGTGTCAAATGTTTTTAATATTAAGGTTAAAACGTAGTAGCATGTGTATTTTCTTTCCTTGGGGGTTTAAAAAAATTATCATTAAGAAACATCAAAAGTTCCATAGTAAAGAGATGTGACAGAATTTTTGGTGAGATAAATTTTTGGTGATTTTTGGTGGAGCATTTAAGTATTTAATTCTGTTGTGCCAACTTGAGACCATTTCTGTGTCCAGAATAGTCCTACAGAATGAAGAACTGGAATTTCAAATTTAAAAGTTGTTTTGCGATTTTAATTCTAGAAGAACACTTCTCATCACTGGATGTGGTATATCTTATGCCACTTCCTCCCCAATATTTCCTGTGAAGTTGCCCTAGTGTCAGAACCAAATGAATGCACAATTATGGGAGAAGTTCCTCAAACCATAAAAACTTGAAATTTCTCATCTGGAGTAGAATTTTACACCGTACTTCACAGTATATATTGTTTTCATATATTTTTATACAAAATGAAAATTTAATTACTTATCAAGTCTATTGGGTTTCCATTTCTATACCACCCCAACTCAGGGTGTAAAACACTACGATCACTGTAGTATTGTTTCTTATATTTCTGGCCTTGCTTGGCCCAACTTGACCTTGGCTCATGTCTGCTAAGCAGCTGCAGTCACTGGCCAGGTTGGAATTATTCAAAGGTTGTCCCTTACTTGCCTGGTGCTTGAGCTAAGTAGCTCAAACACAGGTAGCTCCTCTGCATCTCCTCTTTGTGTCCTCTCTCCCTGGCCCCTCAGGCAGCCAGGCTTCTCATCTGGCAGTCAAAATTCCAAAGGCACTTGTGCTGCCAGCTTGCAGATGAAAGCTGAATTCCTTTGCATGACATAGCCTCCACATCATAGAGTAACTAACTCCTGCACTCCTCTGCCAGTTGGGGCAATCACAGAGTCCTGTCCAGTTCCAAGGGGAGGAATCCAGATCCTACCTTTTAAAGAGAGACAAAATTTGGAAGAGCGTGTCAGACAATAATAATATTGAGGCCAGTTTGGAAATTAAGCTCCCCTATCAGTCTTGGTTAATAAGTGATGTGTGGTTGTATTGAAATATTGTTTCCAGAGAGCTAGGCTAAATTCAGAAGGGCTGACATCCCATATCTTGTTCAGCATCCAGGAAAATTTTCTTTCTAATATTCTCTTGTCATAATATTTTGAAAGCTAAGATTTAAATTTTCAAATCTTTCAATAAAATTGTTGTTCAGGAAGTCTTCACAGTTATATCAAAGTTTTAGTTACCTCTGGAGATGCCAAAGCTTGAACTCATACTACTTGAATATGATAATATACAGGGTTTTTGCTATCAAAATGGCAATTAGTATCTTGTTCACTCAAAAGAATGAATCCTTATGATGTTATTTCTCTTTGGTGTTATGCAGGCAGAAATTAGAGCTGAAGACAACTGAAGCAGGCCCCAGACTGATCCCTGGCAAGCAGGTTGCCACTGTAATTAAAGCAGTTGATTCAAAGTACACATCCATCCCCATTGTGGGGCAGGTCTTCCAGAGCGCATGTAAAAAATGTCCTTCTGTAAGTGTGAACGAATACAGGACTAATAGTGCTTAAAATTTTATTTTCCTTTTGTCTCCAGTGAAAACACCAACTAATTCTGTGGTGAAAGTTTCTGAAGAGCTGCTAGCCACCAGTTACGATGATCATAGCCTTAAAAACGTGAGATGATGCATAATACAACAATAATTACCACTCCCTCATCTCTAATAAAAAATGTTCTGACTTAAGGATAGACCTTTGAAAATCACATCTAGAATTCAGAGGAAATAAAGGGCCTATGAAACCAGGGGAAGTATACTATGCCAAGAGCAGGGACAAGGGTCTGAATCTTGAACATTCTACCACTTCCTAGTGATTCTCCATAGGTAGAATACTTTACTGATCTTAATGTTTTGAGTTTTGCTGTTGAGGACTAAAAGAGGATTTCAAGTTCTTTGCTTAAACTAGGATACTCTTTCTCACCATACTTCAGTGTGCCCTACCAGTGCAGCCAGAAATGAGATATCCCTTCCCACAAGGCAAAGTATAGATCATCTCATAACATTTTCAGTTCCACAAAAAGAATTTCATTGATTGAGTCAGTTGGATGTATGATCATAAAAATGCCTTTAGGGCCAGTATTTCCTAATATTTAATCACTCGTCAGGAGAGCAAACGCTTGGCTTCAAGCTCCATGTGTAGCTACTCAAAAATGATCTTCCCATGGGCATTATGGGTGTTCAGAAAGCTGGACTCATAAGCAACTGATACCACAATTTGCTTAAAGTGCCACACACTAATTCCTTATTAATTTCTAAACTTTACCAAACTGAATTAGAGGGGAACCAAAACATTTTGATACACAAAATCATCATTTTTAAACTTTATTTCTTTTCTGGTTTGTTTTTCTTTCATGTGTCATGTAATGTTCTAACATAATTTTTCTAATGAGACTGAAGCTATTTAGGAAAGTGACTAATGAAACTACATATTTTCCTTACGCTGTGAACTATTCATTCCTCTCCCCATCATTTTAAACATTGTGAGCCATCTAAGATTTTTGATAATTATTTCTTAATTATCACAAGAAGAGTTTATATCACTGAGAACTTGCTTCTTCTGTTTTGGTACAATGGCACTCTTGAAACTGTAAGAGGATCTGAATTCATCTTGATGTAGGTTTTGCTTACAGAAAGGACTCAGTAAATATCAAGCTAAATACAGGTGGAATTTTGCACCAGAATGTCTTCTTAAGATCAGATAGCTAGAGGAGATTTGCAGCACAGAAAACAGAAGTGCTCATGGCTTCCTAGAAGGGATGAATCATTCAGAAGCTGGAGGTGTGGCGATTACTGCAGTCTGACAGGTGCAGGTCTCTGGTGGAATTTAACGTGCTCTGTACAACTGGGCAACAAGTAGTAAAGTATGAAAAGTAAGTTCTTTAGTTTGTTTCAAAGCCAAGAGAAGTCATCAGTTACAATTATTAATTTTAAAACTATTATAGAACAATTGCTGTTGCTTGTAAATTATCTTTATTTAACTGCTACTCTACCAGACAGATATAAACAATGATGAAGTAACACATCTGCAACAGCAAAACATTGAATTTCATACAAACAATGCAATACAAAGACAGGGTAGGGAGCTCAAACTTATGAAATTGATTTTCAGGAAGGTACAGGTAAATTAGAAACCATGCAACTTTTCAGCAGTTCTGATTTTTCCCCCTCTAAAATATCCTGCTGTTAATTAAAATTCTGCATAATTCCACTAGGGTAGTGAAAGCCTTGTGTCAGGTATAAGACCCTGGGACCTATATGTCCAGACTCAGTTAATGGTTGGCAGGGCCCTCAGGGACATGCTAAAGGGTAAAAGTGGTCCTCCTTCCCAGGAAGGCACCGGGGTCAGCAGGCCTCTCTGTGGCCCCTGGGTGTCAGAAAGGCTGGGATGTGGCCAGGGAGACAGGAGTCACATCAAGCTAAGATACAAAGGTGTCTCCTGCTTGTCACATATGAGGATGATTTTATTCCTTGGAAATAAGAGTAATAAGCAGTGTACTCAGTGCTGTGGGTAGAGCAGGATTGTGGCCTGTTTTGCAGCTCTTGGAGCATTGGCAGTCGGTCAGGAAACACCTGCAGCCGGACAACCTCTCCAAGGCTGAGGCCGTCAGGAGCTTCCTGGCCTTCGTCCAGCAACTCAGGAATGCAAAGAGAGAAGACATCCTGCAAGTCCTAAAAACCTCAAGTCAAGATGTCCTGTAAGTCCCCCAGCTGTACGTGGGGTTAGGAAATGCTCTGGGTTGCTATTCTTATTAAATAAAGATTCCTTTAATGCCAACTGCCCTGTCTCCAACTCAGCCATCCTGCTGTTTGCATCTTTATCCACAGTTGTGCCATGTGTAGTTACTGGATGGTCACTGGGCTAGAAATCCAAGAGTGTTTCTAACAGTGACTCACGTATACATTTCTGTGCTTACAAGTTTAAATGATGCCACATCGGTACAAAGAGGCCAGGCTAGGGCTTCCCATGGCACCTGGACCAAGGGCTGCTTCACTGTGCTTTACATTGTATTCCTAGCTGTTAATTCACACTGGAAAATATTTCAGAGTTGATTAAAGCAAACAAAAAAGGTATGACTTTCACTGAAAAGTGATTTCACTAAAGATCCAATTAAGTCACATTTTATATAGAAAATTGAAAACTGAGCTAAGTAGCTAAAGGAATTTAGAGAAAAGAAATCCTTATATTATTTTACATTTGGTCAAAGTGTGATTCATTTTCATGTGTACTGAAGAGAATTGATTCAATTCTAAAATTCCTTTTTAAAAAAATACAGAAGATTTTTTGCATTAATACAGAATTTGTCTGCGAATACAAACTTAGCTGCAAGATACCAATTACTCTAATTAATCATATAGTTCATGTCTCACTTAATTTGACAAACAGTGAAAATTAGTCACTAACATATGGGAAAGTGGAAACTGGCCAAGTTACACACACACACACACACACACACACACACACACACACACACACAAACACATGTTCATGAGCCCAGCAGCAATAGTAGTCAGATTCAAAAGACTCAATTTCTCAAGAAGAAGAGAATTTAACTATTTTTCTGAAAAGCCCATTTATTCTTGCTTGTGATTGTAAACTTGCCTTTAGAATGCTAAAAAAAAATTGGTAGAGGGCCGGGGATTTAGCTCAGTGTTTCCGCCGCCTGCTTTGCAAGCCCAAGGACCTGAGTTTGAACCCCAGTACCAAAAAAAAAAATTGGTAGAAATTCATATGATTAATCACAAATTGGCTACTTTCCTCGAAAATAAATATTTAAATCAGAAGTTGGAAGATAAAGCAAAAGTATAAATTAACAAGTCTGTTGTAATCATAGACTCTTAACTAAATTGGTAGAGAGACTTGTCTTAATATCAAGGCAAAAATACTAAGAAGTCCAGGATTTAGGTATCAATTGAGAACAGGGATTGCACTAACCTTTAACCTTATCTGTAAAAATTGTCAGATGACGGGGGCCAGGGATTTAACTCAGTGGTTTCGCCTCCTGGTTCACAAGGGCAAGGTCTTGAGTTTGATCCCTAATACCAAAAAAAAAAAAAAAAAAATTGTCAAATGACAATACTTTGGATGACTCCACGGAGTATTTTGTAAAGATTTACCCAGTGCTGTACAATATCATATGTGACATACATGTAGCGTGGTGTAAAGAGACCAGAATGAACTAAAATTAGATGACCTGGTTTTAAATTTTCTGACTTGCAGCAATTGCGTATCCTTTAAGCAAGTCATTTCCTGTTCATTTCTCTCAGCGTCACTTTAACATGTATGAAACAGGATAATAACTCCTTTATACAGTAGGACAGTCAGAGGCATGAATGGAGTAATGTGACATTTCCTGAGCTGCCTATGTCGCCCCTCCAGTAAGTGGCAAGACAGTAACAGGTATACCAAGAACAAAAGATTCTAAGTCACTAGGCTGGAAAATATGGGATGAAGCCAAGTTACATAGTTATCATTGCTGCAGGCATTGTAACCATCTTTAATCTGATAATGTTCTTTATCAGCCTCCTTGAATATTTTCTAGACTTACATGACTTTGAGGTCGCCCATCCCTTTTTCAAGCATGTGTAGCATGAATTCATGGGCTACAGAGTCACAAAAGGCTGGGCTGCAATCTCAGCTACACTATTTGTGTCACTATGTGACCTTGAACAAATGACTTGGTATCTGTGACTCTGTGTCCTCAGTTGTAAGGGGAAATTAGAATTAAACTGCCAGGATATTCAGTGAATTAATGAGGTGGCAGTGTTAACAGCTAATATTTATTAATCATTTAGAGTTATATCAAGCAATCTTCTAAATTTTGCCTTGATTATGTAATTCGATCCTCCCAACAATCCTAAAATACTAATTTTTTAGCTCCATTTAAAGATGAAGAAATTAAAAAGAGGCTACCCATCTAAAATTTCTAGTGCCGCACTTAGCCTGTGGTCATTTCATAAATACGCTGTCTCTCCATCTTTGCTTTATTTATTAGTTTTGTTAGGATCAAAGTAAAAGAGTGCAAGTATGTAATTTTTAAAGTATTAAGCATAGTTTTGACCTGTTTACATGGAGGAAGTGTATAGAATTTAAATACAGATATTCATTAGTGTAACAGCTAGTTTCAGAAATTTTACTGTTCCAAACTCAATCAACAAAAGATCTTCCATGACCAGAATATTGAACTAGAATTTTTCTGTAAGAATTCCTTTCTTTTTTTTTTTGTTTTTGTTTTTGGTACCGGAGATCGAACTTGGGTCCTTGCACTTATGCACCAGGCGGCAGAGCCACTGAGCTAAATCCCGCGCCCTAGGAGTTGTTTTCTGATCACACATATTTACTGTGATTAAACATAAAACTATACCACAATGTTTCCAATTTAAAAATAGCAAAGTCTTCTCTCTTGGATGTAAAGTTAAAATAATTTTTAAATCAAATGATGCTGCTCTAATTAAATTATCATTTGAGAAATATGTGTACTTGGAAAGCTAATTAGAGAAAAAATTCAATTTTAGGGACCCTACCTTTTGTGTATTGCTCATATAGAAAAGAATTTAAGCCTAATTTATAATTTCATTTAATTTTATAATTTTCATATAATTTCGTTTAATTTTAAATATCAAATTATATTTGGCATAGGTTAAAATGGTGAAATGAATTTGTATATTCTGTTTATACATTGTTTAAGTCAGAGAGAGAGAAGAGTGAAGAGACAGGTTTAAATAAAATAGGGAGGGAAAGTCTTACTCTTTTTTTACTGTTGTTGTTCCATTTTAAAAAAAGGAATGCTTCTCCAGGAAACTCAAGGCAGTGGAAAGTTGGGTGTCAGAGGTGTTAGCACACCTAAAGGCCCTGTGCGCTGATTAGAGGGACTGTGCCCTTCTCAGCCCGCAGCTTGTAGATGCCATCACCTCCGCGCAAACCCCGGACTCACTAGAAGCCATTTTGGACTTTTTGGATTTCAAAAGTGACAGCAGCATTATCCTCCAGGAGAGGTTTCTCTACGCCTGTGGATTTGCCTCCCATCCTGATGAAGAACTCCTGAGAGCCCTCATCGTAAGTCAAGGGAACCTTGGGAAAATAGACTCTCAGCTGATAATGATGAATCGAAACACCTCTCAAGAATATCAGCAGTAATTAAAAGGTGTTTGATCGGAATTAAGGCTGTGAACTGAAGCCTTCTGATTAGCCACACTACATTTTTTTTTTTGTACCGGGGATTGAACTCTGGACCTTGTGCTTTCGAGGCAGGTGCCGGAACCACTGAGCTAAATCCCTGGCCAGCCACACTCAAATTTTATCAGATTGATTTATATTCATCAATCACTAGTTTGCAGTACATTACTTCACTAGTGTCTTTACAATCCTACCAACTAACATAAAACAGACCTTGTGGAAACTTAAAGATTGTTGCCCATCATATCACGTGGCATGGAACAACACTTCAGAGGAGAAGCGTAGGTTATACTTTAGTGAGCAATTTTTAAAAATTTGTTTTGATTTTAAAATTTTCATGGTGTCTATACATATACATTGAAAGGATACAGTTGTTCCAATATTTAAATGTTATATTGGAACCAAGAGCTACATTTCTCTTGAATCCATGATGCTTTAAGTACTCTTATCCATTCGTGAGCTATTGAATAGCTCATATACTTTCTGGAAAATAAGCCTATTTGAGAATCTGATAAACAGTAATGAATGTGAAAACCTTTTGCCCTGGTATTGGTTCCTTCCTTCTTCTTTATAAGCGCCCCTTGGAAATGTTTAAATGTCTAGATGACCTTAGCTATCTCTGCTTGGCTTACAGGGGAAGTTCAAAGGTTCTTTTGGGAGCAATGACATCAGAGAGACTGCTATGATCATAATCGGCGCCCTTGTCAGGAAACTGTGCCAGAATGGAGGCTGCAAACTCAAAGTAAGTGCAAGCCTAGCCTGAGATGTGGTCTTCCCAGACCACCCTACATGGTACTCATCACACTGCCCAGTGGCTCTCCCAGTCCACCTACCCTGCCCTGCTTTCCTATTCGTGTAGCAATTATTGCCATCCGGGTTCCATTAGACTCATTGTTTACTTCTCTCTTGCCATAGTTTGTGTGCCCCATGCAGGAACAAGTCTTTGCTTTGTCCAGTACCAATTGTTTAAAATGAAGCCTGGTGCTAGATGATGCTCCATAAACACTTGCTAGAAAGTGAATGGTCCATTAATCTTTCTCCCAATTTATATTCATTGAGTACTCATTATGTACTCAGATTTTTTGTCTTTGTTTGATTATCAATTGATAAATGATAAATTGTGAGGTAAAATGTGATATTGCCATACATTTACACATTGTGGAATGATCAAATTGGGTTTTTAACATAGCCATCCCTCAAATACTTATTGTTTCTTTGTGGTGAAAACATTTACAATCCAATCTTCTAGGTAGTTTGAAATATGCAATATGATTTTATTAACTGTGGTCACGATGCTGTATGACCACCAGAACCTGTACGTTCTGCCTAACTAAGCCTTTGTACCCATCTCCCTTTCCTGATCAAATCTCCTCTGTCCCACCCCAGCCTCAGGTAACCCCCATTCTCTTCTCTTCATGCTTGCACGATTTTGACTTTTATACATTCCACCCGTAAGTGAGATTGTGCAGTATTTATCCATCTGTGTCTGGCTTATTTCACTTAGCACAATGTCTTCTGGGTCCATCCATATTTTTGTGAATGACAGAATTTCCTGCACCTCTAGTGAACATGACTGTACCACTGAAACATAAGCAAAATGAGAACACAGAAACTGCAGCAGCCTTTTCTGTTCGAGGGAGCTGGGAAAGGTTTTGCCAAAATCATGATATGTGACCTTAGTTTAGAACTTTTTAGGTCAAGAGATCATAGTATGGAGTGAAGGATAGTCTAGAAGTATATTGTATGCAAAGGTCCAACATGAGTATCTGCCTGGGAACAATGAGCCCTTCTGCCATGGACATTTGTGTAGTCTATATCTAGATTCACCAATTCTTTATCTATTGACCTTTTTCCATGGCTTCATTCTGCTTTATTTCAATCTAACCACATGGGAGTGAGTCGTAGACATGTACCATTTTATTCCCTGTTACTTTTACATCTTGTTACTTGTGTGCCATTGTATCTAAGCACTTATAGTAGACAAAGTACACATGTTTACAAAAGTGTGTGTTCAAACTACTACTTCTAATGCTAATCCAGCACAACTGGGTACTTTCTCTTCTTAGTGATACATAGATGCATCTCTTTCTCCCACAGTGAATGTCCTTGTTTCCAAGAATGTCAGTATATTGATTCACTTGATCCATCTAAAGCACGCACAGGATGCTTTTTAGAAGGGCTGCACCAATGTCACTTCAAAGACAAAGTGCAGTTCAAGACTTCAATGCAGCTCTTTTTGTTCTTAGGGTACTTTCCATCGACAGTACCTATAATCTGAGTTTCATGCTCAAAAGTTGCTGGAGTTAATTCTTTTCTATCCTTTTCTGTTAAGTTATATTCTCATTTTGATATATATTTGTGTCCATTAGTTTATGTTTGAAATGAATTTTAGTAATTTTATATTCTAGCTGATTGAATTTTATTTCTTGAGCATATTTATTACTTTTAGAACTGCATAGCTCCATTGAAGTACATTGGCCCTGGGGGGGGGGGATGGGGGGATGTACCTGTCTCTCACTTTCAGAGTTCATAAATCCTATAGCTGAACCACAGCCCAGAATCTTCTAGTTTAAAGATGAAACAAGCCCATAAAACATATACAGTGGCAAAGATAAGACCAAAACTTGGATACCTCTCTATCTAATTTGGTTTTCTATTAAACTATTAACTTGTCTTCTATTTATTTTTTATTTTCTTTTTCTCTTTCTTTGTCTGGGTCAGGAAAAGGCCTTTGATAATTGCAGAACATATTTGAAAAGTACCTAGCAAAGGGCTTGCCACATAAAAGGCATTTTAAAAATATTTTTGAACTGTGTGACAATGTTAATTAAATTTACAGTCAAATGAAAATAAACACTTTTAAAACAAATGGACTTTAAAAAATAAAATAAAATAAATAGAAAATAAAACAACTGGACTTTATATGTTGGGCTCTAAGGACTTTTACTTAAATTTTTACTTAAAAGTTGTATGGGGCCAGGGATTTAGCTCAGTGGTTCTGCTGCCTGCCTTGAAAGCACACGATCCTGAGTTCGATCCCCAGTACAAAAAAAAAAGTTGTATGAAGACATTCAGAAATTCAATAAATGGGAAGTCTTTTTAAATAATCACTCACAAAGGGATTTTTTTAAATGGCTGTATGCATTCAGGATATGTTCAAAATGAAATATGCCTGTTATTAACAACATTCACCGTCTCTTGAAAAGGTGTTACTCTATGTATTTTTAAAAAGAACACAACACCTTTAGCCAACTTTACTTGTTTATTTCAACCAGGCAGCCAATGCAAAGGTTTTGTGAAACTCTTGTTCTCTTCCCCAAGTTTAATTTTGTGTGTAGTCACATATGCCTAAGGGATGTGATGTTTTAGGCAGTAGTTGAAGCCAAGAAGTTAATCCTGGGAGGACTTGAAAAGCCAGCGAAAAAAGAAGACACGAAGATGTACCTGCTGGCCCTGAAGAACGCCCTGCTCCCGGAAGGCATCCCGCTCTTGCTGAAGTATGCAGAGGCCGGCAGAGGGCCCATCAGCCACCTGGCCACCACCACCCTCCAGAGATACGATGTCCTCTTCATCACAGATGAGGTAGCATCTCCAGAAACGCTGGCAACATTAACAGTCAAAAGCAAACTCCTCCCAAGTCTCTCTACTTTCCCCGCAATGATCTCTATCTCCTGAATGAGATAACTCTCAAATTATATTTATGGCTATTCCATAGTGCCTCACACTTTGAATAATGTCCTGTGTCCTGAAACATAAAGAGTGAAGCATATTATCTTACTCTAAGAAACAGATTCTTTTCAGAAACATATTGTCTATTACAAATTTTAAGATGCTGTTAAATTTTTCAACACTTAGTAAATATCCTGATTTAAGGACGATCTTGTTTGTTCACAAAACTTTATTTTCAGGAAGCCAACTAAATTAAAATGTTCACAGAGCAGATAAAGTTTATAAACCTCAAGATAAACTTTCTGTGAAGAGTGTTTAACACTGAGAATTTTTGTTTTGTTTTGTTTTTTTAGTTTGCACTAAGGCACCCACCATTCCAGTTTTGTGTCGCAGTTGATAGGCTATAAGGCATGATGGTTAGAGGTATAAGATTTTGAAAAACACAGGCCTAACAATAAATTCTGGTTGTCTTTTCCTTGTTGTTTGTTCTTGGATGAGATACTTAACTCCTATCTGCCTGAGAACAAGGCTGAGATTTGAAGGAGACAGAAAAAGGTGGAAGGAAATAGAATTAAAAGAAATATTTAGAAATGCCTCCTATAGAATCTCACACATTACATATTGTTGCACAGTGGCAGCCACCACTAAAATTACTTTTGGCCACAGATTGCAATTATTATGGCATATTTTCTTTTGTGCCAATGTTTTTTTAGAAAAGAAGCCCTAATGGGCCCTATGATTGATAATGGTGTGTCAACTAGGACCATCAAAGGTAGCAGATGTACTAGGGATGTTTATTGTAGTCTGTTTTCTGTTGCTATAACAGAACAACTGAGGCTGAGTACTTTATAAAGACATCTATTTAGCTCAAAGTTCTAGAGGTTAGGGCGCATGGTGCTGACGTTCTCTTATACCAATGGTATCAAATGGCAGGAAATACAGGCAAGGGTGGCTCGTGGTGTGCTTCCCCTTCAACAACCCATTCTTTTTTTTTTTTTTGGTACCGGGGATCGAACTCAGGTCCTTGCGCTTGTGCAGCAGGCGGCGAAACCACTGAGCTAAATCCCTGGCCCAACAACCCATTCTTAGAAGCACCGATCCAGCGCATATAATCACCCCTTCTGGAGGGTGATGTTTCTAGCACCTCATTTCCTTCCACAAGGCCTCTGAGAAGCACATTCACGTCCAGACCCCAGCAACCATAGCACAGGCCAGTGACACAGGGAAGGTTGTGCTACCCACTCAGTTTTTCTGTGAACCTAAAGCTGCTCTAAAAATAAGGTGTATTCATGTTTAAAAAGGAGTTGAAAAATTCTGAGTACTTCCTTGGTTGCTCAGAGAGCCTTCTCTCCCCAGTTTGCCACATGGCAGTAGTGTCCCTGAATCCTACAGATGGAAAATTAGGCCAGGCTGTGCTGCAGTGACAAGTGGACTCAAAAATCTCAGCAGATTATCAAAAGTTTATGTTTCGTGCTGTGTCTAATGTAAGTGAGAGGCATGTGGCTGCAAGTTCATAGTAGTCATGGGAGAACATGGGGAAGGTGACTACCTCTCCATTACTTCCACCTAGAGGTGATCCACATTGATTCTGTTTATGGTCCAGTCACATGGCTCTGACTAATGGCAACAGACCCTGAAAAAATAGTAACACATGCACATCATTATAAATACCCACTATTCCTGCTACAGTATCAGTTCTTAAAATCTAGATGTGCACTAAGTCTAATGTCTTATAAACAGGTTAAGAAGACCTTGAACAGGATATATCATCAGAATCATAAAGTTCACGAAAAGACTGTGCGCACTACGGCAGCTGCTGTCATTTTAAAGAACAATCCATCCTACATGGAGGTAAAAAACATCCTGCTTTCTATCGGGGAGCTTCCCAAAGAAATGAATAAATACATGCTCGCTGTGATTCAAGACATTCTGCGCTTTGAAATGCCTGCAAGGTATGATACATCACATGGTGCCTCTACTTGTTATATAATAATGATGTGGTCCTTGTGCTGCATAAAATCAGTAACAAATTTCCCATCAGAGGGCTGTTTTTTGTTTGTTTGTTTCATGAAGTTTATTGTTACATTTTAGGTATACACTGCAGTTACATTCATCATTGGGATCTTGTACCTGTACATGATGTATCTTAGTTCTTTTTTTTCCCCATTCCCCTGCCCTCCCTTCACCCTCTCCACCCTTTCCTATTTACAAAGACTTTGTTTCCATTTTTTTCTTGTCTCATATTTTTCTTTTCCCTTCTTTCCTTCCCGCTACCCCTCCCACCTCTTCTACTCCTTTAGACCTTTTCTTCCTATTTCACATTATCGATTATACATTTTGATCCTTATTTACACTTTTAGTTTTTCACACCAGAGAAACTATTCAGTATTTATACATGTGTGTCCTATTTATTTCACTTAACAGTATGGCCTCAGTGTGCTCCCATTTAGCTATAAATGTCTCTAGTTTCTCATTCTTTATGGCTGAGCAGTACTCCATTTTATAAAAAAAAAACAACAACAGATCTTCTTTATCCAGTCTCCAGTTGATAGGCAATTGGGCTGTTTCCAACTTTTAGGTATTACAAACTGTAGAGGGCTGTTTATGGAGCCAGATAAAATAGCTTTACTTTGGCTACTTGTGGCTTGGAACTCTGGGTATGATCTTTACTGTGGCATTTTGTTCAGTCTAGTAAATATATATAGTAATACTTCAATTCATGAACACTTGTGGTCATAAACAATTCAGTTCACAAACAGAAATGTTTAGCAAAATTTTGCTTCCCTTCATGAATGCTGCCTCAGGTGACAAACATGACCATAGCCCTCTTTTCAAGAATTGTGGGGCAAATTAAGTTCATGAAGCGAGGCACCACTATTACCAAATGTTAGTAACCTTTTAAAATTGCATTTGGAATGGGACTACGTTTATAAATAGCACAACAGAATGATGTAAGTGCACATCAGATGTCTTTCACTTTCACTTTCCAAGTGTTAGGAATCTTTGAAAGCTCATTCATCACAGCTTCCGTGCATCTGCCTGTGAGTGAGACCTCTGGCGGGGGCCCACACAGAGGGCAGGTCACAGGCTGAAGTGCAATCCACATCGCTCTCTGCCACTCTTGCTGCCTCCCTCCCTGTTCCCAAGTCCTTGGCCCCAAATCCATGGATGCCACTCTTCAGGATGCCCCCAAAGCCCCTCCTCACCAGAGTGAGAGGGCCAGAGAAGGAATTCACATTTTCTCTGCATGCAGAGCACCAAAGTTCAAACTCGTGTCTCCCCCATAGGAAAGGAAAACAGGCACAGGGGAGGATGAGAAGACAGGACAGTGAAAGCTTGAATCCAAGGGAAACAGAGCTAAGTAGCCTGAAGGAACAAAAGCCAGGGAGTCAGTAGAACCAAGAGAAGAGCCAGGTAGAGGAGGAAAAAAGAGAAAGAAGCAGGTAAGTGGGGAGAGAGGCAGCAAGTCAGCCCTCTGTGCAGCCTCGTGTTCCTTAGGTGACTGGATTGATTTTCCTTCTTCTCTGTGGCTCTTCTGGGACTCCGGCAGGCCCTGGGTGTCTGTGCTGCCTTCATCTTGTGCTCTTGGAGTCTCAGGGACAGGAGAGAGAGGGTGAGGGCAGAGAACAGCCCAGAAAGGAAGCCATCACCGACAGATGCTCAGAACCAAACCCTCTGAGCTGGAAGGGATGTGGAAGGCTGCCTTGGTTTGCGTCTCTTCCCTGTGTGGGGGTCTGGTCTCCGGCAAGTGGTGTCATGCTTCACTTGCCTTCTCTGGTGACAGGAAGCTCACCTCCTTGGGGAATCCTGTGCAGGTATTCAGTGTCTCAGCATCATGTCTTTGTATAACAGAAAGCTCTGCGTAGCCTTGGTTCCATCTCTGGAACAAAGCAAAGCCAAGTCTAGTCACCCATTCACACGAATGCCCTGTGGAAGTTGGGGGTCAGCTGCCAAGACCAGGACCTCCTCACTTTTCTAGGCTACAGTCCAAGCACCTGTGGCAGCAGAAGATGGTGGCTGAGGGGGCTTATAAAATTACTGCTCCCTCTTCTCAAAAATTTTGTCTTAGATCTTAGTTCAGTTTACTTTAATTATTTCTCTCTTTTGCTATGTTGCTGTAATTTTATTATTACTGACAAGGTTAGGATTATGTAATGAGAAAGGGAAAGATCTCAAGATTAAAACATAGGCATACTGTACAGGTATGGGGTAAAAGTTAAAACTTGTTACTTAGAGGAGACAGTGGCTCCTTTCTGGGTTTTATTGAGCTGTTTGTACAACTGAAAGCCACACAGATATAGAAGAAATCCTGGAAGTTGACTGTTACACGTCTTTAGCCAATGATGACATTAGTGGGTGTAGGAAAATGTTTGAAGAAACACTGCACAGCCTCCTGATTTGGTGCAGCTTTTCTTACTTGTGATGAGTCTTCAGTAGAACTCCGTGCCTCCAAGCCCATGTCCTTTAGGCTCCTGAGATGCGGCCACAGTCAGCTGAAGCATGTAACAGCTGGCATCCTTGCCTTGGCATTTTGAGACCAAGCTGCCTGCAGATATCCGAGGAATGAAAAAGAAAGCCATCACTGCAGTGCTGATCTGCAGCCAGCACCTTCTCCTGTCTTGGACTGGCATGAGGAAAATTTGGCTCCCTCTTTTTTTTCACTGAGAATTTGGTTTCTTTCCAAAATTGACTTGTGACACAGCCATTGCAATGAATGTGCACCCATTTCTTTTTACATGTTGCAGCAAAATGGTTCGCCGAGTGCTCAAGGAAATGGTCCCTCACAATTATGACCGATTCTCCAAGAGTGGATCCTCTTCTGCCTTTACTGGCTACATAGACCGTACGTAACCTGAAAGCGTTCTCCCGCCCCTTCCCAGTGGGCACAGGGGAACTACTGTTGAGTGACCTAGCTGTTTTGTTCTTAGGTAGCCCCCACTCAGCTTCCACTTACAGCCTCGACATCCTTTACTCTGGTTCTGGCATTCTAAGGAGGAGCAACCTGAATGTCTTCCAGTACATCGGGAAGGCTGATCTCCATGGTAGCCAGGTAACAATTTCCTTCGGATTTTGCTTCATAAAGGATGCAAGAAGTCAGCCTAAAGTGGAATATGTACACGTGTATATGGATGGTAGCTGTGTAGAAGGTGCAAATTAATGGTGGCCTCTGTCACATGTTGCCCATGAGTCCATCAACTGCAAGAGGCTGTGTGGTTTATGGTCTCAGAGAAAGCTTCAGGTTGGAAACCTCAATAACCTGATTTGCCTAGCTTGCTGGGTATACATTTGTCTTTTCAAAAGTACACATATCCACAAAGTTGAAACGCCAGTATTTCTCACTTAAACATTTTATGACATTTTATTTTTATTCAGAGATATTCTTTAGGGCCACCCAAGTATTTCATTCTGTGATATATTTGTCTTTTCGGAGTGTCTCTACAAAGTCCCCATAAGAGAAATGGCATAAAAGAATTGGCTCTAAAGAGCCAATCTGCATGGCTTCAGTGCTGCGAGGAGAGAGAATAAAGGGCAATCATTTGACAACTAGCTAACTTCCATTCCTTTAGTTTTATCAAAACTTAAGTGATGTTCTATTAAGCTTCCTTATTATGAAATGCATTTTCTTGTTAGTTTATATGAAGATCCCATTCTGACCTTCTGTGTAACTGAAGTCTTTTAACTTTAAAGGGTCACCCTGTGCTATAGAAACTTGAGCTCTCAGCAGTGCAGCATCACCACACCCTTTGGCAGTGCTGCCATCACGGTCCTTCTGTCCCCAGCAGTCGTCATCTGTTTTCTGATGCGTGCTCTGAAATGCCAGGCACTCTGTGGTTCAGGGCTGGGTACAGAGGACAGGGAATGAGCAGCAATTCCTCTGGGTGGTAGAAGTCAGGGCATGAGGTTCTCGTGGTGTCCACCATGGTGCTTGTCATCATTCTTCTTTTGGGCAAGGAAGAGGAATTTGACCTCAACATGTGCAGAGTCCTGGATCTACGGATAGCAGCAGCCTTAGAACCGCACCTGCCTCTTTACCTCCTCTCAGAGCACCCTGAAATAGCAGGTCCATTCTATGTGGGGTGCCCTGGGGAGACTGACTCTGGATCAGCATCGTTGTATAACGGAAAGCTCCTGGTCCACGTAGACACACTGCAGGGGTTTGACTCCTCCCCTGCCATTCACTGGCTGAGCAAGCTTGGAGCTTTTTAAATTGTCTTGCCCTCAAAATGGGTGAAATCATCTGTACCTAAACCTTGGTTGTGAAGATGACCTGTAGAAAACCGACTTGCCTTTTATTCAGGAGAAAGGTTTGTGTTTTGTTTTGGTTTGGTTTGGGTTTTGCCTCGCTGCTGCAGATATTTTAAGTTTTGAGCCCTAGGCAGGTTCCAGAAGCCCAGCATCACCCAGAGCAGGCAGGACCGTGTGCCAGAATAATCCCCAAGTTCTCATGTTTTCCCCTAGGTGGTCATAGAAGCCCAAGGGCTGGAGGCCTTGATCGCAGCCACTCCGGATGAGGGCGAGGAGGACCTGGACTCCTACGCCGGCCTGTCTGCCATCCTCTTCGACATTCAGCTCAGACCTGTCACGTTCTTCAATGGCTACAGTGATTTGATGTCCAAAATGCTGTCTGCAACCAGTGACCCTGTCAGTGTGGTGAAAGGACTTATTCTGCTAATAGACCATTCTCAGGTATTGCACTCTGTCTGCATGTATTTATTAGTCCCTCAAATGTACTCTATGCCCAGGGGATGCAGGATAAAGTTCTGCCTATCTTGGAGCTCACCTTCTCTGCATTTGACCCTCTTGGTACTGTTGCCTGTTGTCCTGTTCTCCTTTATTTTGAATAAGCAGCATTTCCTTGTGCACTTGTTAGCTGATTCAGGATCTCCTTACCGGGAGGCAAACAAATGCAGATGCTAATAAACAGAAACACCAGTTGAGAGAGTGTCGAGGGTGTGGCAGCACAGAGGTGACACTGCCACCTTACTTGGCTTCCCTGGACACAGGAGCCAAAATGCATGGCTTCCATAAGTTCTCAGTGACATTTGACAATGATGACCAAGACTTATAAAGTGTATCATTTTGACCCTGCCAGATTAGTGGAGGACAAGCAACCAGTGTCACCAGCCATGAATTTCCAGGAGTTTCATGGAGACTCTGCCTCAAATTCTCATCCTTGTAGAATCTTAGAAAGGTGTGTCCATTCTTAGAAAACAGGAGTACTTGCACTCACTTAAATCTCCTTCTTCAGAATACAGTGGACCCTTGACTTACAAACTCAATTCAATCGTGAGGGCTGGGTGTAACTCAAGCTGATCAAATGAAGGCACAGGCTCCTCTACACAGCCTTCAAAGTCTCCCTCCTCTACACAGGCAGATCTCAGTGTCCTTAGAGAGACATTGGCCCAGGATTTCTCAATTAACCCCACACAGGTAAGGATGTTGTAATGTTCCTTCCAGAACTCTTTAAGGGTTAAATCTATATCTGAGTGGAAGAACAAGTGGCTGGCATTCAGATCATAACTCAAGACTTTGGTTGTAAGTTAAAAACTAAAATTCTGGTCATAACCCAAGTTGTTCAAATGTCAGGCCAGTCGTAACTTGTGGGTCCACTGTAATTTTCAGTTTGTCTTGACCCCAACCTCACTATGCTGTGCAAAGGTCTGGGAATGCTATCTTTTGTGCACAGAGTTTCAAGTGACCAAGATACAAGAGGCAGGAATGATCTTTGTATTTGGATTGTCTGAGAAGCAGAAGAGGGTTAATCTGAAGAGCCCCCGAGTGTGAATGTGTCATGCTTAAAATTTTGTTCTTTAATGGCTTGATTTACTTTCTGTTTTAATAAGCATAGTAACACTAAACTATAAAAATTTGTGAGCGGAAGGTATAGTTTAGTGGTAGAGCACTTCCCCAGTGTGCACAAGGTTCTGGGTTTGATCCCCAGAACGACAAGAAAAGAAGGAAGCAAGGAAGAGAGAGTGAGTTGCTAAATAAGGACCTTGTGGTGAATCACTGTGCACTCTAATTCATCTTATTATTTTGAAGATATAGAAGGAGATTGAATTTTAAATTTATAGACTATAGAACTTACTTGGTATGTTTGCTTTTGTGGATTAGTAAATTCATGGTCAATAGCCTAGGTTTGAATTTTGCCTTTATTACATCTTTCCTGTAGGCTCTTGGTCAGTTACATTGCTTTGAACCATGATTTCCTGCTAATAAACTGAAGCATTTGGAAAAGATGATCCAAAGATTTTACCAACTTTGTCTTTCTTTGTCAGACAATTTTAAGCTTCTCATTTGTTAGGTTCTGGTTATAAAGTTATAGTTTTTAAGATCTGGAGAGACCTTAGGTATCAGATTTTATTAAAACCACCCCAGAGCATGAATAGCTGCAACTAAATATTATTAGTTCTCTATTATTTCTCATATCAGTTCAGGATAACCATATATAACAAAAACAAAAAACAATTAAGAGTGACTTAACCAAGTAGTTTGATTTTTGTCATGTAATAAATATGTAGAAGTAGGTGGCCCCGGGCTAATATGGAAACTCTAAAATATGAGGATCCAAGCTCTTTTCCTTCCACTCAGTGACTCTTACTAGGGGCTTTAGACCTCAAGCTTGTCACCTTGTGAAGCTGATGGCCCCTCCATTTCCAGCACTGCCTCCTCATCCCAGGGAGGAAGGAGGGAAGGGGAAAGTCTTACTCTTTTTCAAGAACACTTTTAGAAGCCTTGTCTGGAATGTTATTGGCAAAAACTGTCTCATGGCTGTTTCTAGCTGCAAGGGAAGCTGGTGAATGTAGTTTTGCTGTCGGTGTAGACACACTGCAAACAGAAATGTGTTCCTGTTCATGCAAACCAAGACAAAGAGGCAAAGGAGTAGTGGCTCTCAATCCTTTAACCCTCAAGTCACACATGACAAACAGTTCTCAAATTATAGCAGAAGTTTTCACTGCATGATCCTATTCCACTGTTAATGGAGGAGACCTCTAAATGCAGCCTGAAAGTGCTGATGAATAGTCCATATTTTAAGGCACAAGATAGCACCACCTGCATGTGCTCAGCTACCCATTAGCAATGTTTGATGGTTTGGGTCAGGGTGCAAAACTAGATGCAAACATAAGTCATAATCTAAACCTGGGTTGGCAGATTGGTTCTGTAAAGGGCAGAAAGTAAACATTTTAGGCCTTAAGGGCCACATGGTTTCTGTGCAACCACTCAATTCTTATACTGCAGGGTGAACAGCCTACAATTTTTTGGAAATTTTATTTGCAAAAATAGCTCATGGGCCAGATTCTGCTGCAGGCCACCGCTTACCAACCCCTGATTTAGATGACCTTACATGGTTTTTCTGTTCATTAAGTGAGGCACCTCCAGAAAGATGTAGTTTATGAGAAACATTGTCACCTGGCTGTTAAACAGAGCCAGTGTCTGTGAACACAACCACTGTCTGTGTGTAAAACCGGTGTCTGTGTGTGTCCTCATGGAGTGCTTGGGAGATCTGATGCTACTGCACAAACAAGCTCTGCTAAGCCATCCCAGCTCCAGGCACATGTGCTGGAGGTCTCATGCTGCCATGGAAGGAAATGCTGGCCGTGGGTGGCCTGTCTCAGCACTGGGGAAGGTGGAATTACTTCTCTCTCTCTCTCTCCCTGTCATGGGGTTACTCATCAGAGATGTCTGATAAAGTCAGTTTAATAAGGGGATCCTTTTTAGCTACTGAAGATCCCATCTTCCTAAATGGCTGCACTGGGATGAGTTGTCAGGGGTCAGTATCTGAGCTGTAAGAAAAACCTTTGGGACCAAAAGTGAAAGATCAAAGGGGTCATGTGAGCTACAGATGCTAGGTCCTAGTATCTTGTTTCTCTAGTTCTCAGGTAAACATTTAAACCAAAATGTGCTCTGAATCAAACAAGTCTATTAGCTTATACTCTTACATTTTACAAAATTTTTCAGCAGAGGCTTTCCTGCACAAGAGAACACAGAAGAGAGTTAGGAGTTTGTGGTAGCCATATGTAAGGTGTGATTGAAAACTACAGTGAATGTTTAAATTTAAAAATTTTTTTATTACAGTAAAAGACATTCATTTCCAATACATTAATCCCACCATTCTTGCCACTTCCTGAAGTAATTCTGGAAGTCTATTTTTTGTGAGTGTCTTTAGTTGTGCTACCATAGCTACTTTGATGTCCTGAATTGATTTAAAATATTTCCTTTTCATGGTCATTTTGACTTTGGGGAAGATCCAGAAGTTGCACAGCACCAGATCCAGTAAATAAGGTGGAGGAGGACACAGTTGTGTTTTTATGAGCTGCCTTTCCACTGAATGGCGCTTGGCAGCTCCTCTCCTTGTATTGTTTTTAAATCACACTTCATAAAGACACTCATGAATGAGTTCTAGAATTGCTTCAGAAAAAGGCAAGAATGATGGGATAAGTATGTTCAAAGGGAGAGGGACTTATTTTTAAGGGAGATTGAGGGCAGCGTGTCTTTGCTGTAATAAATATTTTTAAATTAAACTTCTCCATATACTTTGATCACATCTCATACTGCAGAAAAGTCACTGGATATTTATTCCAGCTTTATGTGTATCCTCTAAACCTGATTTTTCTTTTCAATCTTCAAATATAACATTTACAATGGAAGATTGGTGTGAGGATTAAATGAGTTACCCAGTGCAGAGCTTTAGGCATACAGTAAGTGCTTTAAAATTTTACTTTATGCCTCTCAAAAATTAGAACCACTGTACCATGTGGTTTAGTTCTTTTCATAAGGTAAAGAGTGGTTTGTTCTTCTACATGGGTCAGTGATCTATCTTCATAATGTGGTTCAAAAAATTCCTTTGTAGCTTTGTATAAAATTTCTCCCATGCTCCCTTTGCGTGAAAGAAAAGGAATTTTCCAAGAGAGTCAAAGGACTCCTCAAAAGCACCTTGCAATGTAAATACTTTTTGCAAAGATATATTGTCTGATACTATAAAGTGCCCTTTCTGTGAACTTTAAGGTATTTTGACATCTACTTAAAGTTTTATCAATGAGAAAGTTAAGGTCTGCATCTCAGGTCCCTGATGAGTCTACCAAGATTATGATTTTCAAGTTGTGAGAGGAGGAGAGGCAGAGCACACGGTCCCAGTTGCAGTTCACATGCAGCCTCTGATTATCCAGGCCCGGTAATTCATCGGCGTGGGTTAGCATTTGAGTGTGGATGTTGTGGTTTTCTCCGGGTGAGCTGTGTCCCTTCACGTTAGCTGTGATTCATGACACAACCCCTGTGTCCACGGCACCTACATTTCTCTTCTACACTGCATGTGACTCTCAGTACCCTTAGTGGTGCCTCCTAACGGGTCTTAAGCATTGCGCTGCTGCGCTGCCATTGCCAAGAACTTAAGATCTTTGGAGGAATATCAAAAGTAAAGATGCTGAGCTTTTCCTCAGATCATTACCACCTGAACACCATCCCTAGGCAACCTGATTTGAATCAATGAGTTTCAGACAATCATAAAATTGCTCAGGATGGACGATGTCTGCTAATCATTCCTGTGCTCCTGAAAAATTCAGTCTAGCTCGTGTTGGACCTGACCATTAAGCCAGAGCCATTTCAGATGTCAAACTGCAGGGTGCAAGGCCTAGGTGAATGCTTGCCTCCCCTCCTGCCCTGGTCTGGGCAGCTCCTAGAACTTGTACGCTGCAGCAGGGGTCATTGTGTTGCCTTTTATTTGTCAGAAGGATGCAGTGGTCTGTATTTGAAGAATGCTGAAGATCAACCTACTCCAACCCCCACCCACAAAGTAAAAGCCACAGGGGGACCTCTGATGGAGGGGCCCTCATTTTCTCTGGTGCCATGGTCCTCAGTTTTAGAGGAGTTTGGATCACATGAGGACTCAGGGTAGCACAGGTTGCTGGGCCAGTCCTGGTAGGCGTTGGAGGGCCTGTGAACCTGCGCTTGGAACAGGCAGGTTCCTGGTTATGCTGACGCTACTTCTCAGAGGACCAGACATCCAGGACCATTTGGCCCACAATCCCTGAAGGAAAATGGCCTTCACAATTGCACCTTCACTTCTCTAGTGTCTTAATTAACTTGTCAAATTTGCAGAGTCTACTTCTGGTGATTAAAATGAGCACAATTTTCCAAGCCTAGGAAAAGGCTCCCACATCCACCCAAGTCATTGATATATCCATAGCAACTGTATTGTACTTACTATTGTGACTTTTTTTTTTGCCTCTAGGAGCTTCAGTTGCAATCTGGACTAAAGGCCAACATAGAGGTCCAGGGTGGTCTAGCTATTGACATTTCAGGCTCAATGGAGTTTAGTCTGTGGTACCGTGAGTCAAAAACCCGAGTGAAAAATCGGTAAGCATATCATGTTCAATACTCTATGCATAGACCTACAGAGATATGCTCTAGGAATTGTTTAACCGTTGGGATTTTCAAAGTCTATGTTTTCTATTTGTCATCATGAAATCATAGAGTTGGAAGTGATCATGGGAAGCCATTCTGACATAGCTTCTTAGGAGCAGGTCAGTTATTGAATCCAAGTCAACTGAGAATCTTCCTGCTTCCAGAGACACCCATAGACCTTGTGCCGAAGAGTAAGGGCCATGTTCTCTTGGTATCTCACTTTAGTGGTTAACAGTACTATCAGGAAATTTTACTCTGAAGTAAAATTTTCAGCCTACCCCTCTTGTCAGAGTTTAAAACCTTTCCTCTTTTGCTGTCTTCAGTGGATTAAAATAAAAAGATAATCTCATCTGTGCAGAATCAAAACCTTAAGTAGTCAGAGTTCTTATGTGTTTTTTATGAGCCTCACTTTTTCTGGGCCTCTTTAGTTTTTCTAATCAGCCCATGAGGTCCAATGAAAATGTTTTATTTTGAACATAAAACAATGTCTCGGAGCTACAGATAATCAAGATAATTATTCTTTTCTTTGTTATAGAACTGAAGAAAATGAAATAAAATATAATTTATTCTTACCTTCTGGATATTTAAAAATATCCATATATGATGAGATAGTGATAAAATTTAAATTCTTACTTATTTTCAACTATGTGTGAACCAGCAGAACACTCAAAAGATGGCATATTTAATGTGAAAGATTACACAAAGTAAGACTAAAAGAAACCAAAAAATGAGAAATGGTACTGGACATCAAAGTCAGTAATAAATTTGAAGCTTTCCACTGAATCTATCCTCTTTCTTCTCTTTTTAAAGTATTTTCTGGACAGAAATTTCTCCAGATTATATTGAATTCTCTGTAGAGAGAAATCAACAACACTGACCCCCCCAAAATCTAGGTATTCTAAAGGGACACAACATCCTTAGGAATTTACCATTATCCATACTGGAACTAGTCTATCTTCCATTTCATTACTCACTCATTTGTTTAAAAAAATATCTCAAGCTTTCATTGACTAGAAGACATTAGAATGTACTATAAGGGATCCAGAAATTAAAACAAACTCTACCCTCCTTTTATACTTTCAAAAACAGCAGAGGGGTTTTTAGTTTGCACAGCAAAAATCAGTACCTTAAAAAGTCTGAACCTGTAACTCTAATTTAATCGTGGAAGTAATTTCCCACAGTTTGAGTTAAAGTCTTTTCTTTGTTATAAAGGATTACTTAGAGTGACCCTAAAGGTGAACCTTCTTCCTCTTCATTGTCATTCAAGCTGCATTCCCCCAACTAGTCCTATCTGTCCAGTTCTCTAGATGACATGGGCGAACCCACCCTCCCCACCCCTCATGGGGCGCCCGCTGTGCATGCCTCCCTGTGGGAATGGTTCTTCCAGTAGCTCAATAGCCACACACCTCTAGTATGTAATAAAATGGAATAGAAACAGCTACCTGAAACCCATCAGAGATAGTTAGCAAGAAACTTGTTAGTAACAGCAGTTGTCATCTTGATAAGTTCATACTTCTTTTCAAGATAGCTCAGTCCTTCTGGCCTCCTGAGAGGAAGAGGTTCTAGGCATGTTTTCTTGCTGATCCTTTGTGTGCCATGCATATCTAATAGACACTTTGTTTCCATGGAGGCAGAGAAAGGAGGGGCCCTGGCTCCTTCCTGGCCCCCTAGCTCCAAACAGGCCTGATTACAACAGCCCTGAGCACAGTGGGGTCATCTCTGCATTTCTGAGTGTTCCCTTCCAGCTGTCAGTGTCACAGATTGAAGCTCTGTGAAATTATATCAATTAGTCCAGCCCAGTGAGATGCGACATCAACAGGTGTTTTTCTCAATCTTTAGGGTGGCTGTGGTGATAAATGCAGATGTCACGGTGGACTCCTCTTTTGTGAAGGCTGGCCTGGAAGCCAGGGCAGAGTCGGAGGCAGGCCTGGAGTTTGTCTCCACGGTGCAGTTCTCCCAGTACCCCTTCTTGGTCTGCCTGCAGATGGACAAGGCTGATGCTCCGCTCAGGTGAGTTGTAATTCAGGGGATGGCCCAGGACAGCACCCAGCTCAGCAGGAAATTGCATTCAGTTTCAGAATTAAAAAGACAACAACAAATAAATGATGAATTTTCTTTAAAAGAGTAGAAGAATAATCAATAAAACCAAGAAAAATAAGTTCCTAGGACACCATGCAAATCCAATGACTAGATCATTTTCCACTGAATCAAATCATATTTAACCCAGAGATAACTTTCCAAGGAAACAAAGGGATTTGTTTGACTATAGGAATTGCTCATTTGCTGTCTGTATCTTCACACAGTTGTCTGCTATTCAGAAAGTTCAAAATAAAACACCTGGCCACCCACATACCGTGGCCTAAGGGCCCAATGAATTTATAATTCTTATGTATTGTGTACAACAACAACTTGACCTTTGGTTTAAGTTTGAACTCAATGCTCAGGGTCTTAAAAACCAAATACATTATTATCCATGTAACTTCCCAACATCTGTTCTATTCACACTATGTCCTGTGGCTCTTGTAACCCTCCTGGGTAGCAGTGCTACCCCATGGAGACAGAATCCTTTCAGTCCAGGTGGCACTGCCTCTTCCGTAGTAGCTGCAGAGGTCTCCTTGACACTATCTAACCATAAGGAACAGGAAGTCGCTTCTCACATCATGTCCTGTGATCGCCAGGCTAGAGTTGAATACTCCTTAAATTTTGCTGACATTTTGTGATGCATATAAGAAAGGCATCAATAATACAAGTTACACATAGGTTATATTTTTCACAGAATCTATGTGGAGTTGTCACTAGCTTACATTAACTTATATCTAGAACCAACTTCCATAAATGCATTTCTTGTTTAAAAAAAAGGGGGGGAGCGGGGAGGGACAAGAGAAGAAAAATCAACCTTCCAGTGGTCAAAATGCCGGGACACTGTGGCTTGATCCACAGCCCTGGAATCGTTTCCCTGACCACATTCTCAGCAGAGGCCTGAGCCAGGCTTCTGGAAAGAGGGGTGGAAAACAGCCAGGCCTGCAGAGCTGAACAGAGATGAAAAGAATTCAGCCTTTGTCCCTAGAAAACTAAGTCAGACCCATTCCCATTCCTGGGCATTTGATGTTCTCCTCTGCCTGTTAGCAGGGGAGAAGGGGAAAGAGGGCCACCACCCTTGCGGTGGCTCTGGGGTCTTTGGCACTGGACCCTTTCTGGAGTTTCTTGGAACAGGTGTTGGTGTAGATGACTTAACGTATGTGATGTTGTGGTCACTCAGGCAATTTGAGATGAAGTACGAGAGGCTGTCCACCGGCAGAGGCTATGTGTCCCGGAAGCAAAGAGAGAGGCTGCTGGCGGGCTGTGAGCTGCCGCTGCATCAGGAGAACTCCGACATGTGCAACATGGTGTTTGCCCCGCAGCCGGAGAGCTCTTCCAGTGGATGGTTTTAAGGCCGGCCTGTGATGTTTCACTTGCAGTTTTCCCTGACAGGGATACGATGTGAACTGCCTAAGTACTTGCTCCCTGAGAGCACGGTGTTTACATGTTTACCCATATTTAAGAGTTTTGTAAAGAGCTAGGAGAAACGTCCGTTGATTAGATTTGGGCGGTGTCCCTTTGAGGCATCTCGTGACACCTCCAAGATGTGATGCGACACTTAGTTTCCCTGTTCCTCTTTCAACTCCCGTTAACACAGGGAATGTAGTGCTGCTCTGGGAAGAAACCAGTGTTTGCTGAAAAACAGAGCCACACACTCAGGAGAATCTGATTTTGTCTGAATAACTTTCAGTCAATGTATAGAAAGCCTTTGGTGGAACCTTGAGTATGGCTCGCTTTCTATGAAACATTGCCTAATTAGGGGGGAAAGGCCATGTTTTTCTTCTCTTCTTTTTCTTGGGGGTAGTGAGTGCAGGGAGAGGGTGGCTATGACTTTTAAAAGGATTTTGTTAGCCAACCTCAAGAATTAGTATTTATACTTCTGTTATTGGTTTTGTCAAGCATTAAGGGAGAGGCACACAGACATGGCCATGCAATGAAGCCTCGGCCGGCCTTGGCAAATAGAGGTGAGAACACCTGACTCCAGAACCACTGTGTGCTCGTCCTTATGCTGAATCTTTTGGACTTCAGTGTGGTCACTGGCTTTATAAGGGACGCCCCACAGTCCCCCACTTTCTCTTTGTGGCACGATAGCCAGAACACAGTGTTTTTTACAAACAGGTGAATTTGGGCTTTAAAACTATGTACTCAAATAAAGAGTCTCTTTATTTGTATGAATTAAAAGCCATGTTGGATATTTTAAAATACTTATTAATGAAACGAATGTGTTCACTGTGATAAAACCCCAAAATCAATGACAGGTGCTCCTTTGCCCATGAGACACACACACACCACGTGGAAATGTAGCCACCCAGGAATCACACTGTACACCGAGATGACGTGTGATGAAATAAAGGTGTGGAAATCTTACTGGACTCCGTCCCGCCTTTCATTCCTGGAGCATTGAGCTTCTCGAGTCCTCTCTTGCCCCATCCAGACCCAGGCAGCTGGGTGGCTGAGCATGCGCTGGAGGGCTGGCCAGGTGCACGACTCTCAAGGCCATGCTCCAGTCTCCTGAGAGAGCCAGGCCGGTGCTCACTGCTGCGTCCCTGAGGAGGGACGGGGAGGCTGGACATGGTGAGGGGTCAGGGAGGATGGGCTGATCCAGGGCACAAACTGAGGGCCTCAGCCTGGGTCCTGAGCAAATCACTGGCTCTGTGGAGTGTAAGATGATCATTTCCATAAAAGTGACAACCAGGGTGCCCTACACGTAGCACTTTGCCACTTCCTCCCCTGCGAAAAGTCTGCCCATCCTTGGAGACTGGGAGGACTTAGCCACAGAGAAGGAAGAGACCAGGAGCCTAGGACAAAACAAGTACATAAAGGAGACACGTAACAGCGATGGACCGCATTGCACATTTGCAAAGAGATACTGAAGCCAAAAAAGTAACTGTAAACCTTGCTTGCTGCTGTCCTCAAGTTCTGACCACTCCAGTTCTGAGCATCAGACAGCCGCTGTCCTCTGCAAAGATGGATTTTCTGTCTGGAAACCGTTGGCCCACTGAGTGCGTCCCTGGGCCTCTGAGGCCGCTCCTTATCACAGGCCCTCAGAACCCAGCCTAACTTCTCTCCTGTCATTCCCTGTCCCAAGCTGCAGTTCTTCCCGGGCAGGTGGCTCCCTGCTTCTCCAAATCCAGTCACCTTCGAGCATTGTTAAGCTCACACTTATTTAGTGCTTATTATATGCTAGGTATTTTTAAGCATTTTACAGAGGCTAAGTTAACCCTCACAACAATCATATTTAACAGGCAGTATTATTTTTACATTATAGATCAGCAGTGTCCAAGAGAAATATAATGTGATCCAAATAGTTTTTAATTTCTAATAGCTACATTAAAAAGTAAGCAGAAACAGGTTAAATGAATTTTAATAATGTATCATATTTAACTCAATGTGTATTATATAACATGTAACTAACGCAAAATTATTAGTGGAATGTTTTACTTTTGGGGAAGTAGTGAGCCTTCCAAGTGTGGCATACCTTAATCCACACAGCACTTCTCAGTTTGGACTAACCAGCTCCAGGAACATGGCTTAGCAGCTACTACACAAAACACATCAATGGAGAAACTGAGGCACAGAAAACATGTAACTTCCTGGACAGAATTAACTGGGATTCAAATATAAGTGCCTTGCTGGGGCACAATACCCACACCACACAACTTACAGGAGGGGAGGTGTAATTTGGCTTAAGTTCTCAGTCCAGTGTTGGCTGTGCTGGGATGTGGCCAGGGTGGGATGTGGCAGTTAGAGTGGAGGGCCAACTTGGCAGGCCCGGGATCTGGGCCAGGGATTGGAAGAGCACACTCTGGGTGTGTCTGGTGGGCCATGGAAGCGTGGCCTTGGGGTCTATGTCAGGTCCCTCGTCCCATCCTCTCTGCCACTGTTGCCCTGCTCTGTTTTGGTCACCAGGAGCTAAGTAGCTTTGCCCTACCCTATCCTTCTGCCACAACGGTCCCACCTTGGAGTGAGTAGCTGGCAACACTTTCCCCATTCTGTAGGTTGTGTATTACTTGTTGTTTCCTTTGCTGTGTAAGAGCTTTTTAAATTGATATAATCCCATTTGTTAATTCTTGATGTTTCTTGTGCAATTGGAGCTCTGTTCAAAAAGTCTTTACCTATGCCAATGTTTTCAAAAGTTTACCTATTTTAGCTGGGCATGTTGTCTCACACCTGTAATCCCAGCACTCATGAGGCTGAGGCAGGAGAATTGCTGTGAATTTCAGGCCAGCTTGGGCTACATAGTGAGTTCAAGGCCAGTCTGAACTACATAGCGAGACTGTCTTAAAAAACAACAAAACAAAACGAAATAAAACAAAAAATGTTTACCTATTTTATCTTCCAGCAGATTCAGGTTTTCTGTTTTAATATCTGGGTCTTTAATCCATTTTGCTTTTACTTTAGGACATGAGAGAGGTCGGTCTGGATTCAGTTTTCTGCATGTATATAGTTACCTCTCCTTGCACCATGTGTTACAGAGGCTGTCTTTTTCCCAGGGCATGTTTTTGGCACCTTTGTCAATGCTCACATGTCTGAATGTGCCTGAAGTTGTTTCTTCATCCACTGTTCTGTTCCACTGATTGGCATGTCTGGTTTATGCTGGTACCAGGTGTTTTTGTCACTCTAGCTTTTTAACATAACTTGAAATCTGGGATTGCGATGACTTCTGCTTTGCTCTTGTTGCCCAGGATTGCTTTTGCAATGCTGGGTCTCTTCTGGTTCCATATACATTTTAGAATTACTTTTCAAGTTATGGGAGGAACCCTGTTACTATTTTGATTGTATATGTCACTATTGGTAGTATGACAATTTTGACAATATTGGTTCTGCCTGTCCAGGAAAAGGGAATATCTTTCTGAGATGGAAGCTTAGGGTGTGGGAAAAGTTGGCTGAGGAAGTAGGCTTGACCTGTTAACTACAAGATCCTGGACACATGCACAGAATAGTTCCCAAAACCCTGCACGTGGACTCCTTGTGAGAACTTAAACAGGTTTTCAAGAAGATAGCTCGGACCTGATGAAGGCCTGAGGCACGGGGTCTCAGCACTGCCTCTCAGGACCTGTATGAAGAAGTTCTCACAGGTTTCCTCAAGATTTGGACAGTGTAAAAGAAAGGCAGCCAAGAGGAGAAGTGCTACCATAGCCTTCCACAGTAGACCGCACTGTTTCCCAGATGCAGCATGTGCTTAATCTTTTCCTCTTACTCTCTTTTTGTATCTCCTCAGCCCAAGCTCACTCTGCAGAGCCAGTTTCTCTCCCACTCTTCACTTTTACTTTCTTGAATAAACTTTGCGACTGTTTTTTGCTCATTTCATCCAATTCTTTGTTTGAGATGAGAAGAACCTGGAATCCAACTCTGGAAGGAGAGGTGAGCAACCCCAAACCCAATAATGTTTAGTTAGGCACCACTTTTTAGAAGCAAGCTACCCAATAACATTTTAATGTCCTCTTTGGTGTCCTTTTTCAGAGTTCTATAGTTTTCATTATAGAGGTCTTTCACTTCCTTGGTTAGATTAATTCCTAAGTAATTTTTTGAAGCTATTGTAAATGCTATCATTTTCCTATCGGTGCATTCATTACTGGTATACAACAATGTTATTGATTTTTATGTGTTCATTTTCTTTTTGTTTTGTTTTTTTGGTACCAGGCATCGAACTTGGGACCTTGCACTTGCAAGGCAGCCGGTGGAAACACTGAGCTAAATTCCTGGCCCTTTATGTGTTCATTTTCTATCTTCTACGTGCTGGAGTTGTTTATTAGCTCTAGGAGTCTTTTGGTGAAATTTTTTGATTCTTTCATGTGGTCTGCAAATAAAGATACTTTCACTTTTTTCTCTCCTAGATGTATCCCATTTATTTCTTTCTCTTGCCTGATTGTTTGGCTAAAGTTCGAAGTACTATATTGAACAGGAGTGGTGATAGTGGGCATCTTTGTCTTGTTCCTGATTTTAGAGTTTCAGCTTTCCTCCATTTAATATAATGTTGGCCTTTACTTTGTTATAAATGGCTTTTGTCTAATTGAGATAATGCCTGTCTGTACCTATTTTCTTTGGAGTTCTTATCATGAATGGATGTTGGATTTTGTCAAAGGCTTTTTCTCTATCTATTAAGATGATCGTGTGATATTTGTCATTGCTTCTATCTGGGCAATGTGTTACTTTTATTGATTTGTGAATGTTGAACCATCTCTGCATGTCTGGAATGAAATATACTTGATCATGACCTACGATCTTTTCAATGACTTGTTGCATTCTATTTGCCAGTATCTTGTTGAGGATTTTGGTATGTATGTTCATTGAAGCAATAGTTTTTACTGAACCAGTAGTTTTCTTTTTCAGTTGGGTCTTTGATTTTGGAATTAATGCAATTCTAGCCTCCAGGGGTGATTTTGGCAATGTTCCTTCCCTTTCAATTCTATTAAAGATTTTGAGGAATATTGCATTAGTTCTTCCCTGAAGTACTTGTAGAATTCTGCAGATTCTATCAGGTCCTGGACTTTTCATAGTTGGTAGCTTTGTTTTTTGTTTTTACTGCCTAATTTCCTTGCCTGTTATTGAACTGTTCAGGGTTTTTATAACTTCTGGGTTAAATTTGATAATTCATATGTGTCTAGGTCTCTATCCGTTACTTCGAGATTCTCCAACATAATGGAATATGTACTTCATACTTAGTTACTAACAGTCTTCTAGATTTTAGCAGTGTCAGTTGTGATTTCCTCTTTTCATTTATAATTGCATTGATATCTATGTTTTGTTTTTTTGTTTGTTTGTTTATTTTTGGTACCGGGGATCGAACTCAGGATTTTGTGCTTGCAAGGCAGGCGCTATGCTACTAAGCTGCATCCCCGGCCCTGATGTCTATGTTTTTGCCTGGGGAGTTCAGATGATTTACGAGGAGAGTTATTACTAAACAGCATTGATGTATTCCTGTCACTGCATTATTTTTTGTTGTGTATTCCTTCCTTCTTTCCTTTTGTTTAACCAGTCACCCTGTTTGATGTATTCATTCCTTTAGGATCTTTGGCATGATAGGCTTCCTCATCTCTGTCTAGGGTGTCCTTGAGAAGTTTCTGGAGTCTGGTTTGGGAGTCATAAATTTCTCAAGGAGTTCTTTGCCAAGGAAAGTCCTTATTTCTCCACCAATTTTGAAACATAGCTTTGCAGGACACATTGATCTGGGATGAAAGTTGTTTTCATTTAGAGCTTGAAACACTTTATTCCACGCTCTCTTGGCCTTTGAGCTTTGTGTTGAGAAGTCTGATGTAATTCTATTGGTTTTACCTTTACAAATTTTTTGTTGCTTTTCTTTAATAGCACTTCAGATGCTGTCCCTGTGTTGAAATTCTGGGATTTTTACTATGATGTGTCATGGA